AAATTTCAAAAATTCATCAACTCCATTTTCGTACTCTTCACTAATACGACGTGCATTCATCCAAGTTCGATTCATATTATGTTATAAAGTTTCGTCACTCCTAGATATTCAAAATCTATATTTAAAAATAAATTAATATACAAATAATAAAGCACGTATATGGAGTGTGTAAACCGAAAATGCACTCAAACAAAATAATGACATTCCAATAACAATCCAGTGGAAACATTCATACAATGACGTGATTTAGATCCCCAAAAATAATCACGGATTCAATTTGAACATATATCAGGAGACATAGAACACTAACCTCGAGTAAACACGAAAACGATTTCAAACTCAAATCCAATCGGGGAGAAATGTCAAATTCGTAAAATGAGACACAATGTTGATGTTCTTCATTCGCCAAAATGATCGAAAATGGTGTGGAAAGGTAGCTATCGTTGTCGTTTTCATTGTCGTTCTAAAAAACCCTTGCGGCGCGAGATGCGGGAGTGGGTATGGAAGAGAATAAAAAGAACTTTTACGTCGCACACCCTAGTACGTGACGTAAAAAGCCTCTTTTACGTCGCGTGGGGGGTGCGCGACGTAAAAAGTGATACTTTTTACGTCACATGGGGGGTGCGCGACGTAAAAAGTGCTTTTTACGTCGCGCACCCCCCATGTGACGTAAAAAGTATCACTTTTTACGTCGCGCACCCCCATGTGACGTAAAAAGTGATATTTTTTACGTCGTGCACCCCCCATGTGACGTAAAAAGTGATACTTTTTACGTCGCGCACCCCCACGTGACTTAAAAAGCTCTCTTTTACGTCGCATTGTACCAGGTGCGACGTAAAAGAGGTTTTTAACGTCACCTCCTACAATATGCGACGTAAAAGTTTCACCTCTTATTTACAAAATTGCCACCGCGTTTTATTTACGTCGAATATTTTGATATGCGACGACAATTGGGTGACGTAAAATGTCATTTTTGCACTAGTGTCTTGATAAGAAAATTGTTGAGAAAATTCTAATTTCTATTCTCCAAAAATATGATGCAATTGCAACTACAATTGAACAAACAAAAGAGTTATCTACATTATCGGTGACACAACTAATAGGCTCTCTTGAAACATATGAACAAAGATTGAAAAGGCGTGAAAAAGACTCAGTCGAAATTTTTTTTCAATCAAAACTAAAATTACGATCTCAGAATGGAGGAAATAAAATTAATAGAGAACTTTCTAGGAGTAAGAAAAACTCTAGAAAATTTTCCAAGACTATTCAAGGAAAATATCCTTCATGTGACACTTGCAAAAAGATAAGTCACTTGGAAAAAGATTGTTGGCATCGAGGAAAACCTCAATGTCAATACTGTGAGAAATTTGGACATGTGGAGAAAATGTGTCGCAACAAAAATCATCAACAAGCAAATTTTGCTGAAGAACGGGATAGAGAATAACATCTCTTTTATGCTACGGGATGTTCTGATAATGAATCAAAAGGAAGATGGTACTTGGATAACAAGTGTAGTAACCATATGGTGAATGATCCAAGCATCTTCAAAGAAATTGATAACTCCATCAAAGTTCAAGTGTGATTGGGAAATGACACCGTGGTAGAGTCAAAAGGAAAAAATAGTGTTATGGTGGAGACCAAGAAAGGTATGAGACTTATCAATGATGTCTTACTAGTTCTCAATCTTAAAGAAAATCTCTAAAGTATTGGTCAAATGATGGAGAAAGGATATACTCTCCACTTCGAAAAAGATACATGCACTATCTATGATAATAAAAATCTAGAGATTGGTCAAGTAAAAATGAAAAAGAGAAATATAAGTTTTCCTATAAGCTTCAATCGAGGAACTAACATTGTCATGAAAGTAGAAGTTGATGACTCGTGACTATGACATCGTAGATTTGGCCACTTCAATACTCATGCCTTAAAGTTACTACATTAAAAAGACATGATGAGATATCTACCAAGCCTTAAGGAGAGTAGCGAAGCTTGTGAATGATGTCTTCTGGGAAAGCAACACAGATTACCATTTTTTACGAGAAAAACTTGGAGAGCAAAAGACTTGTTGGAGTTAATCCACACAGATATTTGCGTACCGATGAGGACTCTATCACTTAATAACAACAAGTACTTCATTCTCTTCATTGATGATTTTTCTAGAATGACTTGGGTCTACTTCATTAAAGCAAAATCAGAAGTCTTTGGAATATTAAAAAAATTTAAGGCCCTTGTCGAAAAGCAAAGCGAAAAATAGACAAAGGTGCTCAGGAGCGAGGCAAAGAGTACACCTCTCACAAATTTGATAAATTCTGTGAGGATGAAGGTATTGAGCGACAACTTACAGTCGCATATTCTCCATAACAGAATGGTGTCTCAGAGAGAAAAAATCGCACTATCATGGAGATGCCAAGATCAATACTAAAAGAGAAAGACCTACCTAACACTTTTTTGGCAGAAACAGTCTATACTGCAATTTACATACTAAACAGATGCCTAACTAAAGCAATCCAAAAACAAGACTCCTATTGAATCTTGGAGTGAAAGAAAACCATAAGCTAAACACCTATGAATATTTTGATCAATTTGCTACATACATGTTCCTGATCAGAGGAGGCATAAGCTTGAAGACAAAACTATAAGAGGAATATTCTTAGGATATAACCAACAATCAAAAGGTTATCGAGTTTACAACCTACAAACAAAGAAACTCGTCATCAGTCGAGATGTTGAGGTTGACGAAAATGCTTCTTGGAATTTGGAAGAAGAAAAAATTGTTAGAAGTAACATCTTGATTCTAGTACAACAACTTGAAGAAGAGATAGGAGATCCAGGTACGCCTCCACAAGAAGAAGAAGAATATACTTCATCAGAGTCTACACCAAGACGTGTAAGATCTTTGGTGGATATATATGAAACTTGTAACATGACCATCATTGAGCCTTCGTGCTATGAAGAAGTTTCAAAGCAAGAAGTATGGGTCAAGACCATGGAAGAAGAAATCAAAATGATTGAGAAGAATAATACTTGGGAGCTTGTGGACTGTCCTCACAGAAAATATATCATTGGAGTAAAATGAATATATAAAACTAAGCTCAACCCTGATAGAACCAAACAAAAATATAAGGCAAGATTGGTCGCAAAAGAATACTCATAATAACCTGGAATCGACTACAATGAGACTTTTGCTCCAGTTGCTCGCCTGGATACAATTAGAGCTTTAATAGCCCTTGCTGCACAAAAGGTTGAACATCCATCAACTGGATGTCAAATCCGCCTTTCTCAAAGGAACACTTGAAAAAGAGATCTATGTTGAGCAACCACAAGACTTCATCAACAAAAGCCACAAAGGAAAAGTACTAAGAATAAGAAAATCTCTATATGGCCTGAAGCAAGCTCCTCGAGCATGGTATAGAAAAATTGATAAATATTTTATTGATCAAGGATTCAGGAGGAGCAAAAGTGAACCAACACTTTATATCAAGACACAATGTCAGTATAATCTCATTGTCTCCTTATATGTTGATGATCTCATCTATACAGGAAACAATAAGGAAATGATGAAAGAATTCAAATAATATATGATGAAAACATTCGAAATGACTGATATTGACTTGATGAACTACTTCCTCGGGATAAAGGTGATACAACAAAAAGAAGAAATATTTATCTCTTAGAAGAAATATATTGAAGCTTTACTAAAGAGATTCAAGATGTACGGATGTAAACCTGTCACTCTCCCTTTAGTGGTAAACAAAAAGCTAAAGACAGATGATGGAGCACCAGAAGTAGATGTATCACGACACAGGAGTTTGATCAGAAGCCTTCTATATCTCACAGCTACATGACTAGACATTATGTATGCTACAAGTCTTCTGTCAAGATTCATGCAAAAGCCAAGTCAGATTCATTATGGAGCAGGAAAAAGGATTTTAAGGTATCTGTAAGGTACAAGAGAGTTTGTATATAGTACAAGACCATGACCAACTCAAGGATGATTTGCTACACCAAAAGTGATTGGGCACGATCAATAGACGACATAAAGAGTACGTCAGGATACGCTTTCTCACTTGGATCAAGTTTTTTCTCATGGGCATCAAAGAAGCAAACAACTGTGGCACAAACAATAACAGAAGCAAAATACGTAGTTGCTGCTGAAATTACAAATCAAGCAATATGGCTACGAAGAATACTTAAAAAATGAGCAAACTACAAGATAAACCAACTACTATCTATTGCGACAACAAATCAACAATAGTAATGACGAAGAACCCGGTTCATAATAAAAAAACAAAGCATGTAGCTATCAAATATCACTTTATCCATGAAACTAAAACATCAAAACAAATTCAACTTCAGTATTGCTCAACAGAAGAACAAGTAACAGACATATTTACAAAGACACTACCGAAAGCAAAGTTCGAATAGTTGCACAATATGCTAGGAATTAAAGAAGTTTGTATCAAGAAGGAGTGTTAAAAATTGACACAAACTTCTAGAATTACGTAGAAAACATATGTGTATGCTAGTTATTAGTAGAAGCTACAACATGATTTTAGAAAAAAAAAAGTGTAGAAATAGAATAGTATAAAAAAAATGAAGTTAGTAGAAAATTCTAAAATATCGTAAGTAAAGCTTATAAATAGACATAAAAGGAGTTTTTGGATGTGTGGTGGAAAATACTATCAATCCAACAACTTTTTTTCTATTAGCAGCTACTCGTTCTCTTGCCAAAATCTTTAACTATCTTTCATCCTTAAACATTCCCACATAAGTCTTTTTCATTTCAAATAAAACCTTTGCTTTCCTTCTATTACTCCAAACCACTTCCAAAATAGTAACAATAATAAAGGAAGAACATGAAGCTATTTAAATAAACAGTTAGATGAGATGGAATATGCCGACAGCCAGAAATACTGTCAGTTAAAAATATGCTCCTTCCCCATTTAATATAGAGGGGCATATAAGGTCGAGTTTTCGTCATACTAATTCACGTGATTATAATGTCTGGTACTCTTTAATTCTGACCTATTATGAGGGGCCATGCCTGGAGAAAACACTTCCCTGTGATTTGATTTATTTTTTAGGAGGGAATAACAAGAAATATGTGAAAGTTGGTTCAGGTTTTCCTCTATAAAAGGAGCATATTTACTGAGAAAAATGAAATACATATTAAGCAAATATGACATATAAAGAAGACATACTTGTACCTCTCATTGCTCTGGTTTCTTCATTGATTAGTATTACAGAGGTGTTGCTCTCACTCCAGAAATAGCTTTGTTGAATCGGAACAGTTTCCCACCTGGCTTCATCCTTGGTACAACATCCTCAGCGTATCAGGTACAACTTTACCATTATGTTCATGTCAACTCCATATCAAACACCTTTACTCGTTACAATAGTTATAATGTTTTAGTTCTTTTCTCAAGTGCTTTTCAGTTTCTTATGATTATTATGTATATGCAGTATGAAGGTGCAGCAAATGAAGGTGGTAGAGGACCAAGTATTTGGGATACCTTCACTCATAAATTTTCAGGTACACATACATATATTTCTGCTTCTCTCATATTGTTATACTGAACATCCTTTTCCAAAATTTATACAATTGTTCATTCTATATGCTAATTGTTATGCAGATAGGATTGAGGACAGAAACAATGGAGATGTTGCCGTTGATTCTTATCATCACTACAAGGTATTGCCGATTCAAAGTTTTTTCTTCTTATGTAGTTTATCAGTTGTCATTACTAATGAAAAGTACTGCTTTATAAATTAAAATGAATTGGAATAAAGTTACCTTTTTCTTCTTTGTTTTCCTTGTCACGAGATCACGATGTATCACCTTGTAAATTGAATAACTTGTTTTATGAAACATTATAACCAAAATAACAAATTAATTATAAATTAAGAAATTGATAATTAGAGCCTTGAAAGTTCAACGCAGAAAGAAACTTGAAACAATAAAAAATTAAAATAAATGATAGTATCTTGTTTTCAAATCGTTTTGAAGTAAAGATGGTGGTATATGTTGCATACTATATTGCAGGAAGATGTTGATTGTGAAGAATATGAATTTGGATGCTTACAGATTTTCCATATCTTGGTCTAGAATAGTTCCGAGTAAGTCAATATCAATCATTATTTTGGACTAAAATTTCCCTTTGGATGTATTTTAATCATTTATTTATTTCCTATATATTCACAGATGGAAAGCTAAGTGGAGGTATAAATCAAGAAGGAATACACAATTATAACAACCTTATCAATGAGCTAGTGGCGAATGGTCAGAAAAAATAAAACTTTTTTATGAATATTTTTATTACGTTGTACATTTTAGCAATTTCTCATATTATTAATGATGATAATACATTAAATACTAATAATCATTTACTAACATAATTTCAGGTTTACAACCATTTGTGACTCTTTTTCATTGGGATCTTCCTCAAGCTTTAGAAGATATATATGGTGGCTTTTTAAGTCCTCGCATTGTGTAAGAGAAGCAATTTAACATTTCAACTTGAATAATTCCCTGAATATTCTGGGAGCATTTTCTATAGGTAACACGCTTTTTGAAACAGGAAAGATTTTCAGGACTATGCAGAGCTTTGCTTCAAGGAATTTGGAGATAGAGTAAAAAATTGGATAACTTTGAATGAGCCATGGAGTTTCAGCCACAAGGGTTATGCAACAGGGACAATGGGACCAGGTCGATGTTCTTCTTGGTCCAATCCTAATTGCTATGGTGGTGATTCTGGGACAGAACCCTATTTGGTCACGCATCACCAACTTCTTGCTCATGCAGCAGCTGTAAATTTGTACAAAACTAAGTACCAGGTTAGTTACTATGAGTTGGGAACCTTGTACATGTGAAGTTTGCTGGAACATAGTTTTGAATAATTTGTAATAAAACTACTGGAAGCAGACATTTCAGAATGGTGTGATAGGCATAGCACTGTATTCTATTTGGTACGAGCCACTCTCGAAAAGCAAACTTGATCGAAAGGCTACTGAACGAGCTATTGACTTCTTGTTTGGATGGGTAAGTACTTCTTTTCTTATACACAACTTAGCTTCATCAAATGATTAAGGTAAAAATCATGTATGTATGTGAAAGAAATAAATCTTAATGCCTTAGCTGTTTAGGATATAAATAATAAGGTATGGGTTCATTCTTTGTGTTTGATTTGACTATATTTCTTCAATGGCTCGTGTAATGAGCAGATAAAAAGCACTCTATCATTGATCAAGTTAGCGTGGTTACTATCCGAAGAATATATTATATACACTAACATATTGTTCATTCATTTCATTTGTTTGTTCCACCGTAGGTTTATGGATCCATCGACAAGAGGAGAATATCCAAAAACATGAAATCTCGATAAAGTTTACAAAGGAGCAAACCAGATTACTTATTAATTCATTTGATTTTATTGGCTTAAACTACTACACTGCAAGATACGTCTCTGATGCACCTGAATTAAAAAAATGTCAGAAGTTACCTAACAGATGCTCTTGCAAATATTTCTTGTAAGCATGCTTGTCTAATTAATATCTATGTTTCAGTTATATATGAACTGTATATACATGTTGGATTATGTTTATAGATAATTACATGCCATTTTTGTTTTTGTTAATGCAGTTGTGCCTGATGGAAAGCCTATTGGTTTAAATGTAGGTGACATAAAACTGTAAATTCTTTACTAGTTTATAGCATGTTTTTCTGATAACGAAGATGTTTGCCATGATTATGCAGGTTGCTTCAGATTGGTTGTATGTTTATCCAAGAGGATTTCGTGACCTTTTGTTATACACTAAAGACAAATACAACAATCCTTTGATTTATATTACTGAAAATGGTAAATAACCTTCAATATCACATTTATTTCCCTTTTAATACTATTAAAAACAAGTTATAAATAATATACATGATGAAAAAGTTATAAAATTGAAACAAAATATCTGACATAGTTTACATATTTCACATAGGTATAAATGAGTACGATGATCCATCACTGTCACTTGAAGAATCTCTATTGGATATGTTTATAGAATTTACTATCATTATATATCGTCATTTATATTATCTTCAAGAAGGAATTCAGGAAGGAATTTTAAAGAGACTATTTTGTTTCGTTGCAGGAAATTTCCAGTTTTTTTTTTTTTTTTTTCTAATTGTTTTCTTTCTGTATAAATACAGGAATGAAGTAAATGTAAAAGGGTATTTCTTATGGTCTCTTTTAGATAATTTTAAATGGAACTCAGGTTACACTATGCGATTGGGAATGGACTTTGTAGATTACAAAAATAATTTGAAAAGATACCCAAAAAATTACTTTCTGTTATACGGTTCAAGGATTTTCTCAGAATAGACACTAGGGATTCCATGTAATACCGTCTGAAATTCCATCACCGTTAGTGTATGTAATTTCTTAAACAATTACACTTGTAATTATGTAATTGTTAGGATCATTTATTACTTGTGTGAATGTATAGTTATTGGAATTTGAAATCTTGTTTTAAAGACATGATTATATATATATATATATATATATATATATATATATATATATATATATATAAATTAATTAAAGTCAAGTTATATCCTAAGATTTATATTGTTTATGATCAATGTTAAGTGTATATTTCTTCCTAATTTCCTGGTACTCTCTTTTTAAAGATAAATATTTGATAGTTCATAAGTACAAGGATAAGTGTACGTAATAATAAAATATCGTTTCTTTTGATATTGCATTTATTAAATATTATATTCTTAATTTACACAAATTTGAGCAACAAAAAATGAGATTTAGAATGACAAGCATATAATTATATAATAAAAACTTTCAATCAAGATAACAACGGTTAGAGGTTTGATTTCGTACCTTTTCATATAGAATTCTACTCCTTCCAATTGATGAAAAAAAATATAATTATCCACTTGAGTTTACATAGAGTTGTTTTACTTTTAATATCTTAGTAGGTAAAACTATTCATTGAATTCGAACCCCTAATCATTTAGATTAGTTACGTCATTCAATAGAATCATGAAGAATAATAATATTCTCTATTACAAACTAATTAGATATATGTCTAATTTTCCAATTGTGACAAACCCTAATCTGTTCTATTTAGGATAACAAACAATCTCTAATCTTCTAATTGTGAAACTGCTCGTAAAATAAACTTGAAAATTATAAATAAAACACTGAAATAAAGAACATTAACTAAACATCAATTGTCAAGAACAAGAAAATATAATTCAGAGTACCATCTCAATACTCTAACAAAAGGGAAAATTAGTTCTCCATAATGTAAAACTTTGCTAAAAAATAAAAACTAGAACGTCCAATGGAAGAATGGTGGCTCCCGTTTTCAGTTTCATTCCACCTTCTTACCAGTTCTGATAACCATCTTAAATTTTCACATGTTATGGAAAAATCCACAATCCACTTGTGGAGCTCTCTGACATATCCACTAGTGCAGAAAAGGCTTTCTATGTCGGTTAAAATGGGTTTTCTACGTCGGTTGTTATGAATCGACATAGAAAGTAATGGGCTTTTTACGAAAATTTATATTGGCAAGATTCGAACCCAGTTATTATAGTCTAGAATTAGACCAACCACTAAACTACTACGATTTTTATTTATTTACAATTACATTTCCTTTTATTATACTTTATAATATATTATTATATTATCTATTAGAAGTTTGTCATTAGCAAGATTCGAACTCAATACCTTAGAGTTGAAAACCGATACTCCAACCACTAAGCTACTATGATTTTCTCGATAAATAACTTACAAATAAATTATATTTATATACAAAATATATAAATACAAATATATTTATATATTTTGATATATTTATGTACTTATATATTTAATTTTTTTGATTTAATATACACTTTTTATGTTGGTTAAATTTTAACCGACATAGAAAGTACTTTCTATGTCGGTTAAAATTTAACCGACATAGAAAGTACTTTCTATGTCGATTAAAATTTAACCGACATAAAAAGTTCATTTTCTATGTCGGTTGAAATTTAACCGACATAAAAAGTTCACTTTCTATATCGGTTGAAATTTAACCAATTTCTATGTCGGTTAAAATTTAACCGACATAGAAAGTGAATTTGCTCACATACCATGTCGGTTATATAACAACCGACATAAAAAGTTTATCATATTATTACAAAAATGTCACCGCTCTATATACTATGACAGGTGGATTACAACCGTCATAAAAAGTCGTAATAGAATCATATTTTTCCACTAGTGATCCACAACTCACCTGTGGAACTCTCTGACTTTGTGCAATCTTTTGGAGTCAAATCCACAGGTTGTGGAAAAATCCACAATTAACCTGTGGAGCTTTCTGATCTCGATCTTTGTATTCTAGTATCAAATCCACATGTTGTGGAATATTTCACAAGGCATATGTGAAATTTACTGATCTGAAATCTTTACATCTTGCCACCAACTCCTTCCAAACTATGAATTCAAACCTTCAAACACCTATTTCAAAAAACAATGTACAAACAACATAAATGATCTAAAACAAAGATAATATACGATGAAATCATTCCTATAATGCAACATCGTATGAAATTAACTTAAATTAAGACATGAATACAATGATATTTTATCCACTCATCACTCTTTTAATTTGAATTGAAAAACTTGTTTAATTAGGTTAAAATAAAAACCTAATATAATATATTTTTTTTAAGTTAAAATTGTAATAGCATCCTTATATCAGGGAACAACTATATTATAGTTTTATTATTAATTTTAACATTAATACTAAGAACCATAAAATATAATATAATAATTTATATCAATTATATCTATTTCATAAAAAATATCTCAATATAAATTAGTGTTATCTAAATATAAATTATTGTTGTTTATACTTGTTCTAACAAAAGAGGGAGTGAATTCTTAATAATATTATCTCTTTTATTGCTAGTATTTAGTTGAAAAGTTGAGGATGAATAGTCCCTCTTCATCTTTCATTAATGATGTATACACGTTATAGACGTTCTTTTAGTTTGGATGGATGTCAAAATCGGCTAACCAGTCTCATTTTATTCTCACTAGTTTTGGTTTATTCCGCTTGTACTGTCAAAAATCGGACGTGACAGGTTGATTTATGGGTGTAGGCTTTCATCTGTCTTATAAAAGATATATTAATAGATTAATATGTGATAATTTTTTTAAAATTAATTTATTTATGTTTTTTAAATAAATTTTTTAATAAATTTAATAATAAAAGTATAATTTATTTATAAACAATTCAATATATATATATATATATATTTAAAATTAAAAATTAAAATATTATATTAAAAATTATAATTTAAAATAATAAAATAAAGATAAAATTTATATAATAATAAATAAAAATAAATATATATAACTTCAAAATTTATAAATTTTTTTTATATTAAAAAATTTAAATATTTAAAATAAAAATTACATTATATTTTTTTATGGGACATAACTTGATATTATTCTCCCAAATTCTCATACTTTCACGAGATAAAAAAAGTAATAATTAATACTCATCAATGAGCAAGGTATAAGAAGAAGTATTCACCAAAAAGAGTTAGATTTTTTTTAATTCTCTTCTTTACGTTGTTTTTTATGATTGACTATATTTCAATAAAAATATTTTTTTTATTAATTACGCAAGTTGCGATTGGAATACCTTAGCATGTAAGTTGGTCCAACAACTTGATGAGTCATCCTAAAGTTTTTTAACTTTCACCTATATTTATTATCTTTGTTTTCAAATTTAGTGATGACTAAATATATTATTTTTAAACTTATACTCACCTATATTTATTATCTTTGTTTTCAAATTTAGTGATGACTAAATATATTATTTTAAACTTATACTCATGGGATCCTTTCGCTCCAAGTTTGACGGAAAAAACTCGAACTCATCGGGACGAAGGTGAGTTCGAGTTTTTCCAACTTTAAAAATCGGGGACGGTGATGAGTAATGCAATCATCACCCCAGCCCCGTCCCAGTCCCAGATCCCGATTTTATATTTAAATTTAAAATTTAAATTATTAATATTTTAAAAGTATTTTTTTTCTATTATATATAAAGTCATTTTTTTATATTTCACAATTTTTTACTTTTCTTCTATCCAATTTTTAATTTTGTTGTCTTTTTTAATCTTTTATATCAATTAGTTTATTACATTATTTTCTTTTTCTTACCTTTCAGCTTTTTACCATTTTTTTAATCTTTCCAATCAATTTGTTTTTTTTTTCAATCTTTTCAACTAATTTGATAAACACAATTTTTCTTTTATTTTTTTCTAAATATTTTACAAAAATCTTAGTAATAACTAATATTATTTTATTTATAATTTATATTTATTAAGTTTTATTATGTCATATATATTTTCGATATTATTATTCTTATTTATTATATATCAGATTTATTTTAATAAAATAATTGTATTTTAAAAGATTAAAAAGAATTTATAATTTAAATTTTTATTAATTCGAACTAATTAAATAAGAATTCACTAATTCACTTATTAAATATTTCCTTATAAACTATATATTTTATATTTTTAAATGATAACTTAAAAATAAATTAATTTATATATATAATCAAATATTTGAATATAATATTATAATAATAATAATAATAATAATAATAATATATTTTTTTAAATATTTGAGTACAAGAATGGGAAATGAGAACAAATATAGTTAAAAAAAATGAGAATGAATCGGAGATACAAAATTCGTCCCGCCAATGTCTATTCCAACAATATTATAAACTTTCACATTTTTATATTCTTTTATTTTTTTATATTTATTATTATTATTTATTAACAATATATTATTTGATATCAAAATTAATTATAACTTTATCTACTGAATATAAATATAAAAGTGGATTGTAGACCGTAGTGTAGCAAATAATTGTTGAATACTTTTCAAACTTAATTAATATATGTTGGAAACGTACTGAGGACTAATTTCATTGAAGGAAAATTATTATGATATGACAAACCTTCTTCATCAACCAACTTTGAACAATTTTTTTTTTTAATCAGATTTAAATCTGTCTGAGCATATAAGTTAAAATTATGATTTGTGTGTGTGGTCGCACCAAATGATAGAAAATAGTTTTGGGTGTCTGCAATGTCTTATTCTTGTTAGTTACCAATCATTCAAAGATGTATTCAATTATCTTAAATTTATTTATTAGCCATGAAAAAACACCAAGATTCTTTAAAATCTTTGTAAAATTACATTAAATTTATTGATTAGAACTCGAGTTTCAGGGTGAGTAGGTAACATGCATACACCAGGTTAGGTTATGGTCTTCTTCCCACCTCCGTAATCCATATTTGCTTTCAGTATTAATCATATCATATGGCCTGCACCTGACAATTTTTTTACCAAAACTTATTTAGTGTTGACTAATTTTAAAACTCAAACAAACCCACAAATAAAAACAAAACCATATATATACTTAATTCATGCATGCATATTGAATCCAAAACCATATTCATGCATTGTATTGTTTGTATATGAATTGAAAATCATGAATACATAACATAATCACTTTTAATAATTCTTGTTTGGTCTGCCATTGTTTTCAATCTTATGTTATCTTATATTTTTAAAATGTAGCAAATATAGAATATATATTTGGTAGTGTGCTTAAGGATTGTATCAAAATTATTTTGAATATAATATGTTCGATAACTTTTATCAAGTGGTAAGTAAAATTTGAGAGTAATTTTTTTATTATTGTAGATAAATTTTTAGAACTATTTGTTAAAAAATCCATATTATTTTCCTTAATAATTAATTAGTTTATTTGTAAATCAAATTTTACAAATAATTTCATGTCCTTTCATTTTTGTTACTTTGCTGTATAAAATGATTTTTAGACAATTTCAACGAAACAAAAGTTCTTTAAAATTTTGCTGCATTTAATATAATAATAATAATAATAATAATAATAATAATAATAATAATAATAATAATAATAGTAATTACAAATATATCAATTAAAACATATGACCATAATTAATTCAACGATTAATTTCATAATATTATTGTCAAAATTACAATAACCTCGTAATGAACGTGGATGGAAAACTATTGTTATATTAAAAAATCAATCCCTTAAATAAACTTAAATATTTTAAGACATTAATTTATTTTCTATTGAGAATATGCTGTGTTACAAAAAACAAAAAAAGACAAAATTCTAATTTTATTTTTACTGGATCATATCTCTGATATCATCATCATATGTATTGAATGGTTGGTTGTTTATCAATAATTTTCTGAAAAAAAAAAACAAACAAACAATGACTATTGACAATTTGGGTTGGTCAATTACGACTTTCGTAATATTTTATTTAGCAATCGTGAGAATAAAGATTCAATTGCTTGAGATAACATTAAAAGACAATGTGAAAACAATGAAATAGCTGATGTGGTGATAGCGTGGTACATTTTAAAACACATTTTAATTAGAAAATAATATTACAAAGTATTCAACAAAAGAGATGAAATATTGCTAACATTTTAAATTCTTGCATTCCAGAAAAAAAAAAAACTCAAGTGTTTAGAATTTCTTTGGAAATTCGTTCATGTTAAATATTATATCTTTGAGTTCTTTGAAACCACCAAAGTTGGTAAAAATCGGGAATTTGATTTATATGTTGATCAAAATCAATTTCAATGTGCTTTGTTTGAAGAAATGATGCCAAACTTTGAAAAAAGAAGAAGTCAAATTTAGATAATTGATTTGGACCAATTTATTGGATGGATGATTATCTTTGACATCCACAAAATTAGGTCAGACCAGTCAACAAGTTACAGTAGACCTCATCCACAAAAAAATTTTGTAGACATGACTTTTATTTCAAAATTAGCATATATACCATGTTGTTAAAGAGATCAAGTACCTTATTTTTTTAAAAACAATATTTTATTATATTAAAATTTTTAAATCATGGCTTCACCAATAATTTTTTTGAAAATTTAGTTTAATGAATAGTTACACCAATTATTAACGATTTAAGACAAATTAGTCAAATTTGAAATGAAACGCGTAACAATCCATAAACACCACCATTGGTATACCTACCAAGTAACTTGTGGGCTTCTTCACGTACTACACTTTCGTCAGATCTTCAATTATAGTAATCACACATGATTAAAAAAACTATGAATGAGATTTGAAGGATTTGTTCCAGTAATGAAAAAAGTTTTACGTTCTTATTACTATTATTTAGTAATTAATTAATAGTTGAGAAGTTAAAAACAAAAATAAAGAAAGATAACAAATGATTCCGTGGAGAAAATGTGCAACATACATAACATAAAAAAATGCCGCCATATTTGTTGTTCAAGTTTGAATTTGTCAACGAAGACAAAGCTTTATATTATATTGTTCTTCCACTGTAAACCTATGGGACTCTGTGTCTCTCAATCTCCACATGCAATATAACTATTATAATCTTGTTAATTAGCTGGCTGGTTTTCCTATATAAAGACACACCTGTGGCAATGTGAAGCAATGAATTAAGCAGAGTCGTTGACTGGGAAGAGAAAGGAAAGGAAGATTAAGCAGAATCATTGTTTACAAATGGCACTCATGAACTTTTGCATTTTCAGCCTCCTTCTGTTTGTTCTTGTGACTAGCAAATCAAATGTTGATTGCACAGAAACTGGTGCAGTTGATCCCATGCTTGATGCTGCTTCTCTGAATCGGGACAGTTTCCCTCCAGGTTTCATCTTTGGGGCTGGATCTTCATCCTACCAGGTATAACACCAATGAGATATTTGGCTTATTATGTATCTCATCATCCTACCAGGTCTTGATTATGTTGTGAAACGTTTATGTACATAGTTTGAAGGTGCAGCAAGTGAAGGTGGTAGAGGACCAAGTGTATGGGATACTTTCACCCATGAATATCCAGGTATATTTTCTTTCCACCACATGTTATCTTGTACACGTTATGAAAATATCGTTAAAATCAATATTTTGTCATAGTTTTGTACTTAGATAACCAGTAGTCTTTTATACGTGGTTATAGAAAGAATATATAATTTACAATGTTTATCGTCTGAATCGATATGCAGAAAAGATACTTGACAGAAGCAATGGAGATGTGGCTATTGATGCATATCACCGTTATAAGGTAAGAATTCTTCAAAGTAGTAATATGTATCTTCTAAATTGAAGAATGATGAGCATTTAATTAAAAAAGTGGAATTCATAATTGTTCAAGATGAGTAATTGAATTAAAAAAAGGAGTAAAATTTATTTTCTAATTTTAAATTTGATGATAATTTATTTTATTTAGAATTGACATGTTTTGCATCAGTACTATGAGACCAAATCATTCTAACAACTTTGATATTTCAAGGTTCACCAAACACATACACTATATATATATATATATATATATATATATATATATATATATATATATATATATATATATATATATATATATATATATATATATATATCAAAAAAAATATAAGAGAATTAAATCAAATTTATGAAGCAAATATAAAATTAATGAAACTATTCCTATACTCCTAAAAGAACATACCTAATAAAATTAGGTATATCTTCCCCATACAAAATCTTGTATATTTACAGGTTCGTGGTTTGCTATTTTATGAACTGTAAAATTAAAAGATAAACTTTGTTTTAGAGTTCAGTTTATATACATTATTAGTATTTTTTATTATATCATTCTAAATATATGAGAAAGTAATTCTTATTAAATATTTATGTATAAGTATTTTAGGCTGATAATATATATATATATATATATATATATATATATATAAATTAAACTCATAAAACAAACTACTAGTTGGTGAGAGCAAATTAGATCTTAATTATGGTTATTGATTATTGGGTAAAGGATTTTAATTATTTTGTTGCAGTATATAATAACATTTTTCCAAAAATTTTATAGGAAGATGCTAAATTTATGAAGGATATGAACTTGGATTCATACAGATTCTCGATTTCTTGGTCCAGAATCCTACCAAGTAAGTCAAATGTTGAAAGATGATTATTTTAGATTAAACTCAGATTAATTTAAAAAATTGATTTTTACGAACTATGCATGTATCCACTGCAGAAGGAAAGCTAAGTGGAGGCATAAATCAAGAAGGAATCGACTATTACAACAATCTCATCAACGAACTATTGGCTAATGGTAAGGTTCAAACTCTCAGTTGGATAAACCTTTTACTACTTTTCTTTATCCCATATTCTTCTGCTATTGATCGTCGCATGCTAATTAAATATCAACATTTACAGGTATAGAACCATTCGTAACTCTTTTCCATTGGGATCTTCCCCAATATTTAGAAGATGAATATGGTGGCTTCCTAAGTCCTCTCATAATGTGAGTTTTAATTCCAATGTAAGAATCATTGCACTCTCAGAAAACTCAATAGCTAGATATGAATATAATTTTGTTGAACACTTGTATCAGCAAGGATTTTCGAGATTATGCGGACCTTTGCTTCAAGGAATTTGGAGGTAGAGTTAAGTATTGGGTTACATTGAATGAGCCATGGAGTTACAGCAACAATGGCTATGCAAATGGAAGCATGGCACCAGGACGTTGTTCTTCTTGGTTTAATCCAAATTGCACTGGAGGGGATTCTGGTACAGAGCCCTATTTAGTTTCACACTACCAACTACTTGCTCATGCAGCAGCTGTTCGTGTTTACAGGACCAAGTATCAGGTTTGTTACTTGGTTAAGAACCATGCAAGTTCAAATTATATATGATTTTTTGAAGTGGCTTGAACTAGAAGTATGATTGAAAAGGGATGCATAGTTGAGTAACAAACTAAAATATATTGAAATGTGCATGTGCAGGTATCACAAAAAGGTTTGATTGGCATCACCTTAGTAGCTAACTGGTTTGTTCCATTCTCGGATACTAAATCTGACCATAAGGCTGCTGAAAGATCGATTGAGTTCATGTATGGATGGTAAGAAATCTATGTTGTCCCTCTTTTCTCTAGTTATGTAATATATCTAAAAATGCACATTCATTTGTTCCAATACCTAAGAAAATCCACATATGTATTGGGTTGTATTCTTTTTGGTTGGTGCCTCAAGGTTTTAGATAGAACAAGGTTTTCATAAGGAAACTTGCTTTTGCTATTAGGTGTCAAAGGCTACCATGACTTGTTAAATGGAAAACTAAATCAAAAGCTTATTAATTTCAGGTTTATGGATCCATTAACATCAGGAGACTATCCAAAAAGTATGCGATCTCTAGTGAAAAGTCGACTACCAAAATTTACTGCAGAACAATCCAGACAACTCATTGGTTCATTTGATTTTATTGGCTTAAACTACTATACTTCAACATATGCCTCTGACGCACCTCATTTGAGCAATGCTAAACCTAGCTATGCAACTGATTCTTTAGTCATTCCTCAATGTAAGTAATCAATCTACAACTTCATCAATTTTCTGAAGTGCTTGTACGTTGAGTTTGATCATGTTTATGTGCTATTAATTGCAGTTGAACGCAATGGAAAGCCCATAGGTATAAAGGTATATATGTGTCTACTATTCTAAGCTTGCTAATAATGTACTTCTAATTTTAATCCATTAAATGAACTATGAAACTAACAATTTCATCTTATAATTATGCAGATTGCTTCTGATTGGTTGTATGTTTGTCCAAGAGGAATTCGTGATCTTCTATTATATATCAAGAAAAAGTATAATAATCCTTTGATTTACATCACTGAAAATGGTAAACAAAACGTATTTATATTATATATAATATTCAGTTTCCTTAAGCAATATTACATATAAATATTCGACAATTTTATGATAAAAATACGTTTTTTTTTGCAGGTGTAAACGAATTCAACGACCAAACACTATCATTAGAGGAATCTCTTTTAGATACTTACAGAATTGATTACTATTATCGTCATCTTTTCTATCTTCGTTCTGCAATTAGGTAAGTAGTATTTTACAATCCTACAAGGTTTATTTTTCGGTTATGCAAGTTAAATTTTTGGTAACTTGTTTCCTTCAAATGACATAACAGGTATGGTGCAAACGTAAAGGGATATTTTGCATGGTCTTTATTCGACAATTTTGAATGGTCCTCTGGTTATACTGTGCGATTTGGAATGACCTTGGTGGATTACAAAAATGGTTTGAAAAGATACGAGAAACTCTCTGCAATATGGTTCAGGAATTTTCTCAAGAAAAAAAATACACTTTTTAATTCTAGTTAATGATCTTATTGTTGAGATTCATTTGTTAAATAGTTTATACCTGTACATCATTATTTCTATTTATACTACACAAGTCTTATTGATTTTACTTTTAATTAGTATTAATTACTGTTAGTAAAATGGTGATCATAAAACCAAGTATAAATTTAAAGAAGAGATCATAAAAAACAAAAAATCTAACCACTGCTGGTGGACAAAACAAACACGAAGATGATGAAAATAACGCAACAACAATTAATCTTCATCTTAAATAACGCAAAGGATTAATTAATATCATAATGACATGGTTAAGTGAATAATGAAACTCGTGTCAAATAATTTTCATACGAATATATTATCAAACGTTGTAGTAATCTTTGTCAGATTTGTGTGAATAGACCTGTTTCGTTTCCTTCTGCACTTTTCTCAAAGTGATTTCCGTATTCATTTCGCATAGAATTCATCGTCAACACTTGTTCGTATACCAAATGCCATTGTTGTTTTAATATTAATTTAACTTTCTAACATGTGAAAACCGTTCTCAATATTAAGTTTGAGTTTCTTTATTTAACTTCATAAACAAGTTTAAATTAGTAATTAATAAGTCGAGTTGAAATAACTTGATTCATTTATACCTAAAACCATTTGAAAAAAAAATCATAAGTATTATATTTAAAATGCCATTTATATTATATGATATTTTTGTCTAATTATTGCATTTTTTTTGTTGAGCAGTGTATATTTTATTGCTTAAATATGATAAAATAATATAATACTAGACAATAATACACTAATTAAAGGGAAACTTGATTTTCACTTATTAAGAACTAGAAAATGGGAGATTGTAGATGTTTTGTATTTGAAAAACAATAAAGAAAGAAAAAATAAATCTATATTAATTATGTAGTAAACAAGACTTTAAACGGAAAAGAAATAGTAAATAAAAACATTAAATCTAAAAAAAATAGTAGACTAAAGAAATAAATATTAAGTGAATTGAAATTAAAGCTATGAAATGAAATATTGTTGCTTCAATTATCAATTTGTTTATTTTTATTATTATTATCATTGATTTTTAAATTTAAATATAACTACGATCTATAAAAATTCTAAATAGTCATCGTCTAATTAGATCATGTTGATTTATGGTCGTCAATTGATCTAAACTTAAAAATCCATAATAGAAAATGAAAACTACTGAAAAATAAGAAAATAATAGAAGAAAATTATAAAAATGCAGAAAAATAATAAAAGAATTGTAAATTGGAGAAAGTAAATAAAAGCAGTAAAGAAAACAAATCCAATTTAAATATTTTAAGTGGATAATTTTTAAAGTAGATTTCATAGTGCAAGAGAACTTGAAATAAAAATACTATTATAAAATTATAAGCCCAATAGAGAAAACTACAGAGAAATCCGAAATATAAACCTAAAAAGTGTAAAAATGAAAGATAAGTTATCTCCAAGCTTAAAGTAAATTAATTACATAAGTTGGAACTTAGTTTAAGATAAAAGTGGGTTTTGCAATATTTTTACACAATGAATTCTATTTTTATTGAGAAAATTTTCAATTAAGGTAGAAATTCAAAATTTGTATTCAACAAATTGGTTCCTGTTGGTTGAGCATATGGGCAACATCAAGACTTATATTTCTAGAGATATAATTTGTTGAGCAAAATTTGGTTATGCTAAACGAATATCTTAAGTAAAAAATTTTCTTCTTCTTTAATTTATTATTTCGACAATAATATATAAATAATTATTTAAAATATATAATTTAATTAATAAATTAAATACATAATTATTTATTTTTGTTTTATTAAAATTATGTTAATAATAAATATTTAATTAAATAGATAAACTAATTATATATTAATTATATTAATAAAAATATATTTATTATCTATAGATAAATTAAAATAATCCGTACTGAACCCAACCTATATAATATAAATGAGTTGTATATTTTATATCTAATCATATGTTCATATGTTAAACTAATGATATTTTTTACTTATTTTTAAAAATATATCTTAATTTAAAATAATATATATATATATATATATATATATATATTAAATTTAAATTTTACTTTTAAATATAATTATTTACTATATAAATTACAATATATATTTCTAGTTAAATAATATTATTAAGTTTTTAAAAATATAAATAGAATTTTATAAAATAGATCGTGCCATAGACATCCATTTAAACCCTGATTATAATAACCTAAAAAAATAATGCAAATTAATTTAAACTATAACTTTTTTTCTGATATAATCCATTTACAAAGTTTTCAAATTTGTTTATCAAGTATAAATTTAGATCTAGTTATACAGTTAAGTCAAATCCATTGTGAGAGGTCTAGTTGGCGAAGGAACAAGAATTGTTTATTGGACACAAAAATGCAGATTCAAAATTCTGTAAAGAAGTCTTTCTTCCCCCTCTCTCTCTTTTCCATGCAACTTCGTGTGCAAAACATTAAGGCTATTCATTCCCTTTTTCAAACTCTGTTTTGGTCTTTGACCATACAAATCAAGATGATATGAATACCAACCACACTAAAAATTCATCTGTGAAAAACATTTCTTATACATTAAAGAAAGCCGCCATTGTTGATATTCAACTTTACTGAGAAAAGGGCCAAAAGCTTAAAACGTGGGAAATGTAAACAAAAATCTATTAATTAATTTAAACTTTGGCATGCACAAAAGTTTAGTAACTCTTCTAAGTCAGCATTAGTGTATATTATATTATTGTTAAATAAAGTGTCTGATTATGATATTGTTAGTAGCCATTCCTTTCCTATATAAAGAGGCAAGCATTCGCAGAGAGAACATCAAATTTATAACATTCAAACGACCAAGCAAAACACATCACATACAACATGGCCTTCAATGGCTATTTCTTTCTTCCCCTCATTGCTCTTGTTCTTGTAAGATGTTCCAAAGTTACATGCGAAGAAGCAGATTCAGTTTCACCTATTATTGACATTTCTCTAAATCGGAACAGTTTCCCTGAAGGGTTCATCTTTGGGGCAGGATCTTCTTCCTACCAGGTACATATATATAAATCAACATATACACACATGTAGAATGTTCAATGTATATCTAGTTACTTTGGTAACTAATGGACATGAATTTGATGTTGTTTATGTCAGTTCGAAGGAGCAGCAAGAGAAGGTGGTAGAGGACCAAGTGTGTGGGATACTTTCACCCATAAATATCCAGGTAACTATTTCTCCGTATACAATCATATCAATGCATGGTAAAGGAAGGGAATTAAGAGTGAACTTAATTTTCTAGTTTAAAAAATAAACAGAAATATATGCTTATTTTTAAATATTGAAATGCAGATAAGATTCAAGATAGAAGTAACGGGGACGTTGCCATTGACTCATATCACCACTACAAGGTATATTTTCGTATCAATAAGAATCATTTATGTCAAAAAATATATGGCTCAAATGTTCATAAGATTCAAAATCTATAACTTCTCTTTTCTTTTCTGTGTGCAGAAAGATGTAGGGATGATGAAGGATATGAATTTGGATTCATATAGATTTTCCATATCTTGGTCAAGGATTTTACCAAGTAAGTTATTTGCTTGTAATTAGTGACCAACTTCAACTAAATTTTCTTAATGAACCATTTATTCACTTATTTATTTCTTATTGAATTAATTTTTTTCAGAAGGGAAGCTGAGTGGAGGAATAAATCAAGAAGGAATCAACTATTACAACAACCTTATCAATGAGCTAGTGGCCAATGGTTAGAAAATTTATATTCAATTTATTCAAATTCAGTGTACTTCAATTTTATTTTATATTATTCCCTTACAGTTGATATCATTATTAATTAAATATTAACAACTACAGGTATAAAACCATTTGCGACTCTTTTCCATTGGGATCTTCCCCAAGCACTAGAAGATGAGTATGGTGGCTTTTTAAGTCCACTCATAGTGTAAGTTTCAATTCTAAACTATAGCTTATACATATGCTTAGCACGTTTAACATCCAGATAGGAATATAATTTGATGAGCAAACATATATTTTTTTCAGGAAGGATTTTGGAGATTATGCAGAACTTTGCTTTAAGGAATTTGGTGATAGGGTGAAATATTGGGTTACATTGAATGAACCATGGAGTTATAGTCAAAATGGCTATGCAAATGGACAAATGGCACCTGGTCGTTGTTCTACTTGGATGAATTCAAATTGCACTGGAGGTGATTCTGCAACAGAGCCATATTTGGTTACTCATCACCAACTTCTTGCTCATGCAGCAGCTGTTGGTGTCTACAAGACCAAGTATCAGGTTACTTGATTTGTTCATACCCTTTTACATGTGTTATAATAATTAAGTAAACAGCTTTGCCATGTTAAATTTAAATTGTCCTAGGAGTGTGAAACATGAAGTTATTCGAAAGATTGTTTCATTTTTTTGTTCAAAAACTAAATATTTGAATATTATATATATATGTAGGCATCTCAGAAAGGTGTGATAGGCATAACCTTGGTAGCTAATTGGTTCTTGCCACTCAGAGACAGTAAACTTGACCAAAAGGCTACTGAAAGAGCAATTGACTTCATGTATGGATGGTAAGAATTCCTCCCACCCTTTATCTATCTTTGGTTTACACAAAATGCACATGCAAACATTAGCTTTTAAAGGCTTCAACATATTTCTTAAGCCTTAAATTTTGGGCCTTCAGAGGAATATATAAAGGATTTAATAAAGAAGACTCATTATTTTCTCTATCTGGTTTGTCGAAAACAAAAATGAACTGACAAGTAATTGATTTCAGGTTTATGGATCCATTAACATTCGGGGATTATCCAAAAATCATGCGATCCCTTGTGGGAGCAAGATTGCCAAAGTTTACTGCTCAGCAAGCCAAACTACTTGTTGGTTCATTCGATTTCATTGGTCTGAATTATTACTCTACAACATATGCCTCTGATGCACCTCAGCTAAGCAATGCCAGACCTAGCTACTTGACGGATTCTCTTGTCATTCCTGCATGTAAGGACTTTAATCTACTTTCATTCTATCAACACCCAAATTGCTTCATGATCATGGCTAACCATAGTTTGTGTTTTATGATTTTTATTGATTACAGATGAACGTGATGGGAAACCTATTGGAATAAAGGTACGTGTATTATACCACCAAAACATGCAAATCTTCTATAATTTCTAATTCTAATAAAATATAAAACTAACCTTTTTTCGTAATCACATGCAGATTGCTTCAGATTGGTTGTATGTTTATCCAAGAGGAATTCGTGACCTTTTATTATATACCAAGGAAAAGTACAACAATCCTTTGATCTACATCACTGAGAATGGTAATTTACACTTGTTTATACGTATTTAATTTCCTATAATGCAATCACATACACATCTGTACATCATTTTCCTAACTTGTATTTTACAATTCATAGGAATAAATGAGTATGATGATCCAACCCTATCGCTTGAAGAATCTCTGATGGATACCTTTAGAATTGATTATCATTATCGTCATCTGTTTTATCTTAAATCTGCAATTAGGTAAGTAATTCATTGAAAAAAGTGATGTTGTTTAGTGATTGAACTGAATAGTTTTTAACTCATTTTGTTTGGCATTTATAGGAATGGCGCAAATGTAAAAGGATATTATGTGTGGTCTTTGTTCGACAATTTTGAGTGGTCTTCAGGCTATACATCACGATTTGGAATGATATTCGTGGATTACAAGAATAGTTTGGAGAGATACCAAAAAGTTTCTGCTCTATGGTTCAAGAATTTTCTCAAAAGGGAAACTAGACTTTATGGCTCTAGTAAATAATATACGAAATTAGTTTATTAAATTTGTATATAATTATTTATTTTTCATTTAATATTCTTTTATTCTGAATAGATTCTATTGGATATAAAGAAGAAATAGTGATTTGTTTTATTATAAGTCCTATTGGACTTAGAGGAAATAGGTGTATTTCGATCATTTACGGTTGTGACAATAAGAATGAGAAAAAAATTTGTTATTATATATGAAAAATGTTATTTTACAATTTATTATATTTGATAATTTAGAACATATTGTTAAATTTAATGACAGTAAAGCTAACTTTTGGAAAAAAAAAAATATATATATATATATATATATATATATATATATATATATTCTTGTCATTCAATTATTTTCTTTAAAATTAATCATGGTGACATACTTTAAATATTTTTCATAAATTTTAAATATTTTACTTATAAACACAAAATAAATATGATATAGATTTAAATATTTTTATTATAAAATTTTACTTAATATAAGATATTGATTCAATTATATATAATATATAAGTATCTTATTATAATTAATATTCATTGCAAAACTAATATTTGATTTTGAAGTAATTAAATTAATTAAAAATATGTGTTCGCTTGTAAATTAAGTAATCCAGCGACTTTGATGAAGTTGATTATATATTTTATAATAATTTAATTAGCCTATATTACTTACCTGACTATACAAATTTCGAAATTCTCTGAAAGTGATAAATATAAATTTTTGATTAATTTTTTAAGGTTTCATTGATTGAAAATTTAGGACAAACTATACCTAGAAGTATTTTCTAAAAATAAAAGAAACATCATTCAAAAACATTATAAATTATGTCTTTTTTGTACGTAAATTATTTTCTATTAATATTTTCAGTTATAAGACATGGATCCCTTTCTCTTTCCACGTAGCTTCGTGTCCAAAGATTGTTGCATTAAATTATGGGAGAAGTTAATATATAACCAAAACCACTGTAAAAGTTTTGTTTTCTTCCTAAAAGATTGTTGCATAAAATATAGCCGCCAAATTTGATATTCAACTTTACTGGAAATGTGGTCAAAGAATTAAAAACATGGGAAGAGTGAATTTATAATAATTTTATACAAAGTTCAGTCACTCTTCTAAGTCAACAATAGTATGCATTATATTATTATGAAATCAACAGTACCACTGTGTTAGTAGTTATTCCTTCCTATTTAAAGATGCAATGAAGCATTTACAGAAATATCATCAAACGACCAAGCAAAATATATCATACAACAATGCCATTCAACACCTCTTTCTTTCTGAGCCTCATTGCTCTTGTTCTTGTTAAAGTTACATGCGAAGAACCAGTTACAGTTTCACCTATTATTGACATTTCGCTCAATCGACATAGTTTCCCAGAAGGGTTCATCTTTGGAGCGGGATCTTCCTCCTACCAGGTACATATATATACTTACAAACAAACACATACATAAAGGGAAATGTGATATAAATATATATAGCAAGTTGATTAATTTTCTTGCATGATTTTGATTTCATTTATGTTTGTTATTTATATATATAGTTCGAAGGTGCAGCAAGGGAAGGTGGTAGAGGAGCAAGTGTATGGGATACTTTCACCCATAGATATCCAGGTAACTAACTGTACCTTTCATTCTTAACAGATCAAAGAAGGGAATGGAAGAGAATTATAATGCTTTTACGGAGTGATCTAATTTGAATAATTGAAATGCAGATAAGATCCAGGATAGAAGCAATGGGGACGTTGCCATTGACTCATATCACCACTACAAGGTGTATTTTCGTATCAATAAGAATCATTTATTTCAAAAAATATGGCTCAAATGTTCATAAGATTCAACATCTATAACTTTTCTTTTCTGTGTTCAGGAAGATGTAGGGATGATGAAGAATATGAATTTGGATTCATATAGATTTTCCATATCTTGGTCAAGGATTCTCCCCAGTAAGTTATTTTCTTTTAGTTAGTGACGAAGTTTTTCATAGTTTGATCTTAATTTTAAATTAGCCATTTTTTTATTGAACCATTTACAGAAGGAAAGCTAAGTGGTGGAATAAATCAAGAAGGAATAAAGTATTACAACAACCTTATCAATGAGCTAGTGGCTAATGGTTAGAATTTAAGTTCAATTTATTCAAATGCAGTGTACTTCAACTTTATGTTATAATATTCTCTTACTGTTGGTGTCACTATTAATTAAATATTAACAACAACAGGTATAAAACCATTTGCGACTCTTTTCCATTGGGATCTTCCCCAAGCACTAGAAGATGAGTATGGTGGCTTTTTGAGTCCACTCATAGTGTAAGTTTCAATTCTAAACTATAGCTTGTACATATGCATAGCACATTTAACACTACAAGAAAATCGCGTATTACCGATCGGATATTTACTTGACGGATTTGTATCCATCGGAAAATAATTATTACCGACGGAAATTACCGACGAATATAAAATATTTGTGGAATTTGATCTTACTGACGGATATATTCGTCGGTAAAATAATAATTAGTTACCGACGGATATATCTGTCGATAAATCCGTCGGTAATTGACGAGATGAATTTACCGACGGATATATCCGTTCGATAAATCCGTCAATAAATTAATAATTAATTACCGACGGATATATCCGTCGGTAAATTCATCTCGTAAATTACCGACGGATATTTCCGTCTGTAAATTATCAATTAGTAAAAATTTAACTAATTAAAAAAATTTAATATTTTTTATTTAATAATTTCATTTAATCAAAATTAGATTAATTTATAATAATTTCTTAAATTAAATAATTTTAAAAAATAAATATTTAATTATATATAAATATATAAAAATATATAAAAACATATAAAAATATTTAATTGTATATAAATATATAAATATATAAATATATAAATATATATATATATATAAATATATATATATATATATATATATATATATATAATATATATATATATATATAAATATATATATATATATATATATAAATATATAAATATATATATATATATATAAATATATATATATATATATATATAAATATATAAATATATAAATATATAAATATATAAATATATAAATATATAAATATATAAATATATAAATATATAAATATATTTGTATATAAATATAATTTATTTGTAAATTATTATCGAAAAATTCTAGTAGCTTAGTGGTTGGAGTATCGGTCTCTAACTCTAAGGTACTGGGTTCAAATCCTGCCAATGACAATTCTCTTAATCTGATAATAATTGAAGCCTATAAAATTGTAATAGGGAAAAATAATTAATAATAAATAATAAAAATATAAAGGGAAGGGGTATTCTATAAAATAAATAATCTATATAAGTAAAATATTTAATAAATAATAAAAATATTACCGACGGATTTTTGTTATTACCGACGGATTTTGACCGTCGGTAATATCAAAATTTCTTGTAGTGTAACATCTAGGTAGGAGGAATATAATTTGATGAGAAAAAATATATTGTTCTTCAGGAAGGATTTTCGAGATTATGCAGAACTTTGCTTCAAGGAATTTGGTGATAGGGTGAAGTATTGGGTTACATTGAATGAGCCATGGAGTTACAGTCAAAATGGCTATGCAAATGGACAAATGGCACCAGGTCGTTGTTCTGATTGGATGAATTCAAATTGCACCGGTGGTGATTCTGCAACAGAGCCATATTTAGTTACTCATCACCAACTTCTTGCTCATGCAGCAACTGTTCGTGTCTACAAGACCAAGTATCAGGTTAGTTAAATTATTCTCAACATTTTAGATATATGTTAAAGTTGAGTAGACTTTGCCATATTCAGAAACTTAATGTCTGAATATTACATATGCAGACATCTCAAAAGGGTGTGATTGGCATAACCTTGGTAGCTAATTGGTTTTTGCCACTCAGAGATACCAAATCTGATCAAAAGGCTACTGAAAGAGCAATTGATTTCATGTATGGATGGTAAGAGTTTCTCCCACACTTTATTCAACTTCAGTTTATAGAAAATGCATATAGGACCATTTGACTACCTTGATATAATGAGATTCATAATCCTTAGCTTTTGAAGGCTTCTACTCAAGCCTTATATATATGTTAAGAATTTGAGAAGGGAACTTGTTCATTTTTCCTATTTGGTTTGATGAATAGAAAAGTGATTTGAATGATAAATGATTTCAGGTTTATGGATCCATTAACTTCCGGAGACTATCCAAAAAGTATGAGATCACTAGTGAAAACAAGACTGCCAAAGTTTACTACAGAGCAAGCCAAACTACTTGTTGGTTCATTTGATTTTATTGGTCTAAACTATTACTCTACAACATATGCCTCTGATGCACCTCATCTAAGCAATGCCAGACCTAGCTACTTAACCGATTCTCTTGCCATTCCTGCATGTAAGGACTTCAATTTTCTAACATTCTATCAATACCCTAAATTTAGATGATACATTATTGAATATGATCATGGCTAACAATAGTTTGTTCTCTATGATTTTTATCGATTGCAGATGAACGTGATGGAAAACCTATTGGAATAAAGGTACTTGTATATTCTCAGTAAGACATGCAAATGCTCTACACGTTCAATCTTCTACTTCTGATGAAATATAAAACCAGCATTTTTTTGTATCTTTATGCAGATTGCTTCTGATTGGTTATATGTTTATCCCAGAGGAATTCGAGACCTTCTATTATATACCAAGGAAAAGTACAACAATCCTTTGATTTACATCACAGAAAATGGTAAATATATATATAACTTGTCTATATCTATATCCTTTAATCAAGTAGAACAATTGTACATGATGTTCAATTTCCCTGACTTACTAAAATGAATGTGTATCCTATTTTCTTAGGTGTGAATGAGTACAATGAACCAACTCTATCACTTGAAGAGTCTCTGATGGATACTTTCAGAATTGATTATCACTATCGTCATCTCTTTTATCTTCAATCTGCAATTAGGTAAGCAACTATTTTGTTGATAAAAGTTTTATATGTTGTTATTTAACTTTTAACAGTTTTGAATTTATTTTCATTTCACTTGTTCTTCACAGGAATGGTGCAAATGTAAAGGGATATTATATATGGTCCTTCTTCGACAATTTTGAGTGGGCTTCTGGCTATACATCACGATTTGGAATGATCTTCGTAGATTATAAAAATGGCTTGAAAAGATATCCAAAACTCTCTTCAACGTGGTTCAAGAATTTTCTCAAGAAAGAAACCAAACTTTATGGCTCCAGTAAATAATATTATCAAATTCATTTATTAAATGAAAAATATATACATTCTTTTATTCTAAAACCCTACTGAGAAAAAGAGATTTATTTCATTCTTCTTAGTTCTATAGAGTCCTGTTGGACCATGATGAAAAATACAGATATGTTGTAATAATACAGAGAATGAAAAAAAAATTATTGTTATGAAGTTGTGATTTACAATTGATTATATTTGTTAATTTAATGCATCTTATTTTGGGGGATTTGGTGAAAGTTAATTACAGTAAGAAACAAAATCAACTTGTGAATATATATATATATATATATAGAGAGAGAGAGAGAGAGAGAGAGAGAGTGTGTGATTTTTATATAAAAATTGGTATTTTAATTTTATTATGTTTATTTATATTTAACATCCACAATATTAGTGATATTATATTTGGATAAGAAATTTTATAATTTAAAAAAAATTAAAAATAGAATTTTGAATTTATTTTATTTTATTTTTTAAAATATTTTAAATAAAATAATTAAAATTTTTTGTTTGAATAAAATATTTTATTAACATCAAATATAAAATTTATTTTAATATTAAGTGATATTTAATAGTTTAAAAATATTAATTGATACATTTCATTATTTTTTGGGCAAAATCCATTAGAGCATCTTCATGTTCTTATAAGTAATATATTTTATTTTAAATGTGACATATTATGTAACTTTTAACATATTACTTTTTAAGTAATTTACACAAATTTTTTTGTTTTATTTTAACGGGTAGTTTTTATAAATATTCACATTTTTATAATTTTTTATTTATATTTTATTTGACAAAATAAAAATGATTTAATTATTATAATTAAATATTAATTTAATATAATATTTTAACTTAAAATGATAGTAAAATTACAAAAGATTTTAATTTTTTATAAATATTATTTTAAAAAAAGATCAAAATTAAATTAAATTAAATTTACCAAAATTCAAAATACTTAAATAAGTATTATATATATGTATATATATATATATATATATATATTATAACATTGCTGTTATTTTATAAATAAAATAAAAATATTTTTATATTTTCTCTCATTAATATAAAAAGAATCTTAAATTTAATTATTTTTAATAAATATAATTTGAGATGTTGATTAATGAAATCGTTAAAAATATTTAGATAAAATATTGATAATATTTTTTGTTTTATTTTTTTTTTTCGAGTAACATTGTTTGTTAGAAACTCTAGTTGCCACTTGGATTAATTCTAATGCAGTTATTCGTAAAATGTAGATAATTTTTTGATAAAAAACGAATTAAGATGTTCTTAAGAAATTTTCAACTAACACAAAAGTTTATATCTTGATTAATTCAAAAATAATATTTCAATTGATATTAATCACAATTATTTTAATTAACCTCAATTATAATACATTTTAAAAGTCCTAACATTGCCAACAAAAAAAATTATTGTCAAGGTTAGTCAAAGTTTTTTCATTCCAAATTAGAAATAAAATAATCCTAATCAATCATGGACCAAAATAAAAATCGTGACATTGGTAGAAAATAAAAAATCCCAAGAACCAAAATAATAGGGTTGACATCCATGAAAATAGCTCCACCAGCACCATTAGTTTATTTGAATAACAGTACATTTTTGTCCCACAGTATCAATGACAAGATAAAAATAAGATGACTATAAAATTGAAAAAAAAAGAGAGTATTATAATATATATATATATATATATATATATATATATATATATATATATATAAAGAATATTTTTATGCATCATTCATGATGAGGTGTTATTTTAACTTTTTTTTTCAATTTTGTTGAGAAAAAAATGTGAGCCCATAGTGATCTTTCACCCAATTATCCTCTCCTACCAAACTCATTCAAAATATATTTTAAAAAATTCACCCCAACCCTACCGTCCAACCAAACAATGTGTAAAAGTAAGAGAGTTGTGAAATTGATGTGAATCATGCAGGGAAAATAATCTTAAAAAAAAAAACACACTTAATCTCAATTAGGAGTAAGTATATAATATATACCCAGTTAATAGTATAATAATAGTTATTGTTATTATATTAAGAAAAAAACTATTAATTAAGTGTATATTTCATCACCTTGAGATATCACATTATTATTATTTTTTAATTTTAAAAGGAGCGCAAACTTAAAAAAAAAAAAAAAGTAAAAAAATGGTGTGAAAAGATGAAGTGAGAGAGGAGAAACACTTGCCTGAATACGATGATGTTTTCGTTGCTCTGCGTTTTGTCTCTTTTTGTGACCTCCTTCATCAACATCACTCATTCCAAGGCCGTTCTTGACGTTTCATTCCTCAACAGGAGCAGTTTTCCCCAAGGTTTTGTTTTCGGGACAGCATCCTCGGCATACCAGGTTCATAAACATGAGTCTATCATACTATTTTTTGTTGTTATTAGTTTGTGGATTGCTTTGAATCATCTTATCTTCCAATTTGGTTATTGTCCCCCATTACCGTTTATGTATCAGAAGCTAAGAGACATGATTTTGCAATGTAGTATGAAGGTGCTGCAAGGGAAGGTGGAAGAGGACCCAGTATATGGGATACTTTCACTCATAAATACCCACGTAAATATCTCCCTCACTACTGTTTCATAGTATTATTGAATTTTGTTTTCAAGGGAGAGTAAATGCAGTTGTTGTCACTCACTTGGCAAAAATTTCGGAACTTAGGAAGGACCTAAGTAGACAATTGTTAAGGAATGGAGGGAGGGAGTATGTGTTTTTCAATTTTGCTCCAGCCTTTTAGAATTTTGTCTGTGGGAGTTTGGGAGCAATTTTGGACCCTGTTACACCAAGCCAATTATTTTATTACTTGCAATCAGAATCAGAGAAGGTTGATTGGATGTGATCAGACATCATAGAGATGAAAGCAAAGGAGAGGATTGGTAGAGATTTCTACAGTTGATAACCACTGACTAACTGCATGAGCAATTTTCCAGCTTAATGAGCTGAGCATACTATCATGTACTTGATATAACTATATATTGTATAATTATATGTATATTCAACTTATTTATCAATGAAATGGCATGCAGAAAAAATAAAAGATGGAAGTAATGGAGATGTAGCAGACGACTCATATCATCGGTACAAGGTATTATATGGTTTCAATAGTTGTACCAGATAAGTACTAATATATATAGACATGATACATTGGAGCACCGATTTAGGAGGATATTGGAATCATGAAGTACATGAATTTGGATGCTTATAGATTTTCCATTTCTTGGTCTAGGATTCTACCGAGTAAGTTAAGTTTTATTGATACTCCACCCAAATAATTTATTTCCCTAGTTTGTGTTCCCTGACATACTATTAACTTCATATAAATTATCTGCAGAAGGAAAGCTTATTACAGGTGTAAACCATGCAGGAATAAACTATTACAACAACCTCATCAACGAGCTAATGGCTAATGGTCATAATTGATTAACATTTATTTATTTAACTTTTTACATTGCGTTAGTATCATATCCATGTTATTGTTACACAGAAATAATCATGCAGGTCTACAACCATATGTGACCCTTTTTCATTGGGACGTTCCCCAAGCCTTAGAGGATGAGTATGGTGGTTTCTTAAGCCCTGACATTGTGTGAGTGACTCCAATTTCCACCTGTAGCTATAATTAACGGATAAATATTGTATGAATAATGAGAAATAATGATCTGATAAACATATATAATTCATTGGAGCATGCAGAGATGATTTTAGGGACTATGCTGAACTTTGCTTCAAGGAATTTGGTGACAGGGTAAAACATTGGATTACTTTGAATGAACCAAGGAGTGTGAGCAAGAATGGCTATGCAAATGGTAGGTTTGCGCCTGGTCGGTGTTCTGATTGGTTAAATCTGAACTGCACAGGCGGTGATTCCGGAACTGAGCCCTATTTGACTTCACACTACCAACTTCTTGCTCATGCTGCCGCTGCCAAACTGTATAAGACCAAGTATCAGGTCCTCTGTATTCCTGATCTGCTTTAATTTTATATCACCAAATATGTCCTGAAATTTAAATAGCATGAGACTTGAACTTGTCTAATAGAGGGTCAATGAGTACAAAAGCTACACACGTAATTTCTTTTTAGCTGATGGACTGTGCTTTACTTTCATGTAAAATTATTGAATGCTGTTAATAATGAAATTACCAAAATGTTGTGTATGCAGGCATCTCAAAAGGGTTTAATAGGGATTACCTTGAATTCTGACTGGTATGTTCCGGTTTCAGAAGAGAAATCAGATCGAGATGCTGCACGTCGAGGCCTTGACTTCATGTTTGGATGGTAAGGTTATACTCAACATTCAAACCTTGAAGGGAAGGAAAATGGATGGAGACAATGTTTATCATTGAAAATATGATCATGGCATGAATAATGGTATACTACTCCATCAAGTAAGAAGAATGTGGACCAACAACATTATGTATCTATGGAATTATGTGATCGAATATTGACTGTTAAGCCTTCCACATTATTGATCTCTCTTAGTGGATGATACCACTTAGATTGATGTATTGGTTATTTGTGCTATTTAATCAAATTATATCTCTTCTCCGAAACCTGTATAAAAATTAAAGGTGTGAGGATTTCGAATTAACTCCACTCGAGTTTCAAAAGAAACACACTTAAGTATGACCAGCTAGATTCAAATGTATTTGTGCTGTTTCGGTACTTCTTGTTGATTGCATCTACATTTTGCATTCTGTGTTATAAGGTTTATGGAACCACTCACAAAAGGTGAGTATCCAAAGAGCATGCGATCTATGTTGGGAAACCGGCTACCAGAGTTCACCAAAGAAGAGTCCAGGCAACTCAAAGGGTCATTTAATTTTCTAGGCCTAAACTACTACTCATCCTTCTATGCCGCCTATGCACCTCATCCACTTGGTGCCAGACCAGCCTTACAAACTGATTCTCTTGTTAATGTCACAAGTAATAATCAAGTTGTTTATATGCCTGCACTAGTTGCTTCTGTTCTCGTGAATGACCATACAGAACTCAAACAAAAAAATTTCTTGAAAACATGATTTTTTTATTTTTGAAATGACAGATGAGCATGATGGCAAGCTCCTTGGTCCAATGGTATGTATTTCATAATTTCATTTACATTTCAACGCTTTTCATTTGTTACTTTTCCCTCTAAAGATCATACCCAAAATTTTAATTAAACTCATTTATAATAATTTGCAGGCTGCTTCTAATTGGTTGTGCAATTATCCAAGAGGATTCCGGCAACTGTTGCTTTTCATCAAGAAGCAATACAACAACCCCGTAATTTACATTACTGAAAACGGTAATAGATTTTTTTTTTCTCTGATAATTTTGTGCATAGTGTAATGTTGATAAAGCTAATGATTAAAAAATTAATGAAAATTATGCAAAATTAATTGATAGGTTATGACGAGTTCAATGATCCAACACTTTCACTTGAAGAAAGTCTTATAGATACATACAGAGTTGATTACTTATACCGTCATCTTTATTATCTTCAAACTGCAATCAAGTAAGTAATGTTTTATCAGAGTTTTATGCATCTTGATTCCACAGATTGATGTCTCCCATTATATTTTATTATAAAAAGTAAGTGCTCAAGGGTGGAAAACCAATAAAGGAGTTACTTTTTGGGTTAATTCCTTTGTTTTTGTTGATTTTTATGCATACAAGGGATGGTGTGAACGTAAAGGGATATTTTGTGTGGTCATTGCTGGATAACTTGGAGTGGGACTCTGGCTATACTGTGCGATTTGGACTCGTCTTTGTGGATTTCAAAGATGGTTTGAAACGCTACCCGAAACTCTCCGCACATTGGTTCAAGAATTTCCTTAGTTAATCTTAGTTAGACATATGTAAAATAGACACAGTTACAACTCAAATGTGTGACAGGGGTGTCTGTTTCTTCATGTCACAACAAACATAGACTTTGGTATTACAACTAGACTTAGCTGCGTAACAAACAGAACTCCAAATATCTCCTAGTTAAAATATATATATATATATATTAAGTAAAAATAATTTTAATCTAAAATATTTTTTTATTCTACATATTAACTTATTACTATAAATAAAGACTATTGAAATTTTAATTTAAATATGATAACATGTTTTACTTTAGTTTTTAAATGGTAAAAACCTACAAATTATGTTTTATTTCAATTTTTAACATCGTAAAATTATGATATGACATTCTTTATATATTATTTAGTTATTATAATATTTTTATTTTATAAATACCAATTTAATATTGTTAGGATATTTTAGCAAATCAATTATAATATAATTGATAAAAGGGGTGTTGTATCCACGATTACTTGACAGATATTATATAATTTCAATTTCTTATTCAATTAAAACTTTAAATATAGTAGAATAGTTGTGTCAAATAAATTAGTAAACACACCAAATTATTGTATAATGAAAAACATAAGACAACCAGGAATTGATTTATTATTTATATATACATGAATTTAAATACTCATAGTTTTAAGTTCAGTAATTCATTTTAAATTAATCTCTTAATAAAAGTATGGAGAATCTTAAACAATCAATAAATTGATTAATATAGTTAAGAAGTTGATTTGATTCAGTTCAAAAACAAAATATAATTTCTCCGTATCGATCTCTAAAATCATCAAATTAAATTCCTCTGAATTCAAGTAATAAATTATAATCAAATAATAACTAAATAACAAAATTAATATATGTATAGAAGTAAGTTAAAAAAAGTTTACAAATTACATTCAATCTAAAAAAACGATGGTGAAAAAGGATAATCTAAATTAGAAAGAGATATGCTCTAATTGGAACAGTAATTATTTTCAGAATTTGGAGCGTGTTTGCTCGTGTTATTTATGCTTGCATATGTATTTTTCCTTCATTTCTTTTATTTATAACAGGGAACCTAACAACTTTTTAATCCTATGTTCGATGACATCAAATTAATGATGGACTGAGATTTCCTTACATTGAAGGTGTTCTATAAAAAAAATTACAAATAAAATAAATAATTAAATAACTCGACACTCCAGATTTTAGTAACTTTGACTATTAATAATTAAGTAAATTTGATTTATTTACTAAATGACTTGTAATAACATTAAAAAAAATTCATCAAAATACTCTAAAGTTTAAGTTAATAAAGTGTATATTCTTTTGTAACAGAGTTCAAATGATCGATCATAGTTGAAACGTCATAATTTATAAATTTCTTACTAATGATATTTTAAGTATTAAAAATACATGTTTAATATTATTGTCTTTATTGCGGTATTATCTTAATACATTACCTTATTAATACTCATTAAAGATATATTAAACTTGGGAGAATATTCTATTTATTGAATTTGGATAGGTATACAAGCCCCTCAAGTTGAAAATCTAATTGTAATAACGATGTATTAACTATTAATTGACCTTATCTACCTAGTTTATTTTTCTTGAGCTTATTCATTTCCAGCTTGAGAAGTCTTTTTGATTTCTGCTGAGTTGACATTTGTTAAAACACTAATGAAGGATTTTTTGTAATGATTTTCCGTCGTCAATGAACAATGCCCTAAATTAAAATTGAAACATTTGTTTTCCCTCTATTACATTATATCCTTCTCGAATCTTTGCTTATTTGAGTCCCTTAAGCATCCACTTTCCTGAGTTCCTAAATATTCTTGGTTTTTCGTCAAGCATTTCAATCTCAGATCCATTTCTAGGTACGTCTCACATTACAACGTCTTCTTCTTTTGAGTCTAATGACTTGATTGGACCTCTAGTGGGTCCTAGCTCTTCTGCAAGAACTAGGAGGAGTATATTTTCTCCAATTTTTTACCCTGAGTATAGTTGAGTGCTTGGGGAGGTTGTCTTCTATTTTTTTGTTTTCACTTCCTCTTCTTTGGTTGGAAGCTATTTGTAAAGCTTGATAACCCGATTTTTTATAGACAAAACAATTTCTATTTTTCTTAAAAGTGAGGTTAAATCCATTAGGATGAGAATTTTTAAAAATATTTTTCTTCTTGTGATCAAGTTTTTTCTCATACTTTTTTAAGCTAGTTTATCTTTTACTATATTTGTCTTAGTTGACATTGTCTTAGCCCTAGCAGCACACCACTTTCGGTTGGTGTCTATAATGATGTGTGTGATAAGGTCTAGTAGTGACATCTGTTATTCATGCTTTAGTTGTTGTTTACACTATGTCCAAGATTCTAGAAGTTTTTCGATTAAAAGTTCTAAAACAAACTCACCAGATAAGACTATGTTTCCTACTTTAAACGAATCCCAAATATTTTTAGTTTTCTTATAAGACCAATATATATCAAACAAATAATTAGACAATATATTAATTAAACTGTGTCGACATACCTTATTCAAATGAATTCAATCTTCAATTTGTTTTGCAAGAGTACTAGAATTAAGTTTGGTAGTTGTAAGAGTGAAAACTACTCCATACATATTTAACAGAGTAGAACTGCATTATTGCCAATGTAAAAAAATTTGTCCTGAGAAAACTTCTATTTTTGAAACATCGGGGAGAAGTTTCGCAATGATAGATTAAGTTTTGGAAATGTTGTTTATCTTCGTTGTAGAGCTATTGTTGGTGTCCTTAGTGTCAGTCATAAGTCCTTAAGATTGTTGTAAATAATAATAAAAATACGAACAAAACTTAATTTCTAAAGTATGCATTATCACTATCAAGACTTATATGTAATGTATTACATAAGTGTCTCATGTCATGAATTTCTCATAATATTTTTTGATATGAACTCAGAACTAAAAATAATCTCAAGAGTAATCATTCAATATATAAGAAAAAAAAAAGAGTGAAAATAAGAGAGATATGTATTTGATGATTGGATATCTATTTACAGGTGTTAATGGTTAAAAAATCTAATCTCTGAAGAAATCAAATCAACAAGAAGTTTCATATCAGCAACCTTTGGAACCAATATATATAAAGAAAGAATCACATGTTCTTGGATCTAGGACGTTCATGGATCTTTGGGCGTTCGTAGATCTCAAAACGTGATTTATAATATTCTCTGTTTTTTTATAATAAGAATTAGGAAAAAATTTATTCCATACTTTCCTCTAACTCTGAATAAAAATCACTTGACTTGACATTCTGCCTTTTGAATTTATTAAATTTATGTGTTAAAGAAAACATATTAACAATATTATTCTATAACATAAATAATAATATTTTAAATATGAAAAAAACCTTGACAAAAATATTTTTAATATGTTTCATGAAACTGAGTTCTATTTCTTAAATACATCAACCTTGATACTACAAACCGGAGATGCGCATGATAAGATTTTTTTAAGGAATTAATACTTTGTAAAAAGTTACATGCGTCTTAATGATTGAAATTTACCTTTAGATCAACAAAAGTGAAATAACAAAAGGATTTTAAATAAGAATGTAAAGTGAAAAACATTGTATATTCTGAACAAATTTATTTGAAGAATTAAAAATAAATCATACATTGTACATTTTTTTTATCATATTTAATTTGTCATTCTGACCAATTAAGAATAAAATAAGACAAATTGATTCATCAGTTTATTTTAAAAAATATATATTAAAATTAAAATAATAAAAATTATAATTAAAAATATTATATTTTTTTATTATATTAATAAAATATTTAAATATATTATAATATTATAATTTAAATTATAAATATTAATCAATTAAATTTAAATTAATAATTTAGATATTTTATCAAAGGGAGAAAACTACTTTATTATTATTGTGTGATTTTACTATTCATATATGATCAGAGGGAGAAAACTACTTAATTATTATTGTGTGATTTTTTATTTATTTATCATAAGTGTGTAGATTTAATAATCCGTAAAATGGGTTGAATGATACTAATAAAATAAATGTTTAAATTAAAGTGAATTACTTTTGGTTCGACTTTATTAGCTAGCTATTAAAAATGGGCTTATGTTAAACTGGTTGTATTTTTATAGGTTAACCTAATTTTAAAAATAGTAATTATAATTTTTAAAATATTAAAATAATATATATAAAGATATCCCAAACTATTATATATAAAATTCAAATTAATTTAATTATCTAATTTACGTAAGGGTATTTGTGGTACAATTTGATTTTACATTAAAATGTCACCTGAATTAAATATAAAATTTATATGTATTTTATTTTATTTGAAGGATTTTTTTATTATAAATTTATTAAATATATAATAATTTAATTAAATTTTTTTTTGAAGATATCATGCATAATTAATAACTTCAATTTATTTTCTCATATGTTTCTATATTCAATTTAAGAAATAATAATATATAATTTTTAATTTTATACTCTACTTATATATTCAATATTTTGGTCTCTAAATAATTATTAAACATATTTATTTATATATTTACAATTTTACTCTTAATTTAATTATTATTAAATATATTTATATTTACCTTTTAATATTTTTTTATATTTTTATATTATTTAATAATATTATTTAACTTTAAAATCAATGGTGATTAAGATCTATGATCTTATGTTTTAATTTTAATTATATATATCATAATTTCAATTCGATATATTTTAGATTAATTTTTGTCAAATTAAAAATCTTATCAAAAGATTGATTTTAAAATTTTTCAATCCAAAATATGTGAAGAATAAGTATTTTTTAATTTAATATTTTTTATATTTAAGAATAAGTTTTTTTTTTAATTTAATATTTATATATTTTTTATTTAAATTAGGCTAAAATAATCTGTTAGGAGGGGATTAGACAAATTTTTCTTATCCATTTAAAATATGGATCGCAAACCCACATAAAATTTTCACATGTTGGGAAGAGCGATCCGTTGTGTTTAAAGTACGTTTCAAATATATCATCCACTTTTCTAGAGACAAACTTACTCAGATAAAAGAAAACTAAAAAAAAAAAAGTTATTCTTTCAAATATTTCACACAACCACTTATCTAAAACCTAGATTCTGATATCACAGAATAACTATGAAATCTCATATACTAAGAACCATGCTGAATAATTAGGACTTGCTGAGAAAGTTCTTGAACCATTGTGCCGAGAGTTTTGGGTATCTTTTCAAACCGTTTTCAAAATCCACAAAGATGAATCCAAATCGCACAGTATAGCCAGAGCTCCACTCCATGTTATCCAGAAATGACCATACAAAATATCCTTTCACATTCACACCATCCCTTGTGTAGTCAAAAAACACGAAAGAATTAACCACAATTTTTACTCCTACACTGGTTTTCTAAGCTCTCTCATTACATTTAAAGGAGAAAGAATGTAACAAAGAAATATGAAAAGTAAGTGTAGCATTATTACTATGGTGAAGTAAAATGCATAGAAAGAAGCTATGCTCATGTGATACAATACAACATTACTTACCTGATTGCCATTTTAACATAATAAAGATAACGATATAAGTAATCAACTCTGATGGTATCTAAAAGCTTTTCTTCAAGTGATAGGGTTGGATCGTTGAACTCATCATAACCTGTTAATTTATTTTGTTAGATTTTCATCACCTTGTTGTTTTTTTTGTTATGAAACATTATCAATTTGTCACAGTATGCAGAGAATAATCCGAGAAAGTAAGTATGACTGATATATTACCATTTTCAGTAATGTAAATTAAGGGATTGTTGTAATTCTTCTTGATGTAAAGCAACAGTTGTCGTATTCCTCGTGGATAAACGCATAACCAGCGAGATGCAGCCTGCAGAATATTGCAGAGTTCTCTTAATATTTTCGATATATATGATCATTTGTAGAATAAAAAGTAACAACTTTGAAGCATTGAAAAGTAACGTAGAAGTCAATGAAATGATGAAATACATACATATGGACAAAGAATCTGGCCGTCACGTTCATCTGTTGTTAAAAAACATGATTTCATATCGTATAATAATTTCTTGTTTGAAAATTCAAGAAAAGTGATAATTACTTGTAGTATAAACAAGAGGATCATTTAGAAGGGATGGTTTGGAACCACGTAGACGAGGTGCATGACCAGCATAAACGGTTGCATAGTGGTTTAGACCCAGAAAATCAAACGACCCTTTGAGTTGTTTGGCTTCTTCTTTGGAGAACCTTGGTAGACGGTTTCCCACCAAGTGTTGCATGCTTGTTGGATACTCACCTTTTGTGAGAGGATCCATATACCTAATCATAAATGCAAAATACAGATGTCATCAATACTTTTTTAATTTCATAACAGCAGAATACATATATTAAATCTCAAACTTAAAACCAATTTAAATTAAGTAGAGTTGTCCATTTATACATATTTTAAGAATCGAGATGATAACATGATGGGTATTTCTGAGGGGACTAATAGTTATCTCATTTATAATACCCAATGTTGATAGGTATACCTCCCCTCTAGCGGAAGCATGATCTAGTGATGACTTGTCAGAAACTCTTGTTAACTCTGAAATCCTTAGCTGATCATTCAAAGAAATGATAATATTTGGGTATTTTCGAGGGGACTAATAGTTTTCTCATTTATAACTTAATGAAACTCGTTTGCTTGAAACCCTTAACTGGTCATTCAATGAAATGATAATATGTTGGGTATTTCCGAGGGGACTAATAGTTTTCTCATTTATAATACCCAACGTCCATTGGTATACCTCTCCTTTAAAAGCATTTTTTAGTCATGAGTACGAGAAACCCTTGCTAACTTAATGAGACTCGCTTGCCTGAGAGCCTTAGTTGGTCTTACAAATGAGGGGCATGAGTCAATCATATAAGGGAATATGACACCACCTTCAATCCAAAACCTTAAGACATTATGGGTATTTCTCATTTATAAGTTACTCAACTTTCTCATTTCTACTCAATATGGGACTTCAAACTCACACTTGACTTGAATTCTTAACATAATATAAGATTTCTGAACACATCCCGTCCATATATGTCTATCTAACCAGGTAAAAATATTAAAATAAACAATTAAATTAACAGGATGATTATAGGTTCTGATATTACGTCAGATCTCATTTTAAAATTAATAGATGCTAAAACTTGGTTTGGCAAACATATAGGGAAGAAGTGACTCGAGAAATCCTAGGTTGCCTTGGAGACACAATACTTGTTTAGTAAAACAATTTTATTATGCTAAATTAGGTTCATCATCATCCCCAGGGGATCTTCTTAAGAACTGAGGATCCTCAATTCTTTGCCACTAATATGATTTTGATCTAAACTTAATGACTATTAAATATATTTATTTATATATTTATAATTTTGACTTCTTACCTTTTAATATTTTTTTACTTTTTATATTAATTTATTAATAATATATTATTTATCGTCCGAAAATTAATAGTTAAGATATGACATTACTCATCATTTATAAAATGGTGGATATGTTTGAACATTAACCGTTAATACTTCTGGATTAAATTAACCATTATCGGATGATCTTTCTTCCTTGATACATGAGAGTATGATAGAAAAATCTTCCTTAATAATGTGAGAGCCTTATTGAAAAATATCACATCAAGTAGTAAAGAGCAATAAAAAGTCTTTAATCTAATTTATCAAATTTATAGGATTGAATTGGATAAGTTACAATTTCTAAACATAGTTATTTGGTTATAAGTTAAAATTTGATAATATATACATTTGATTGAAAATATGTTTCTATTTAAACTCCAATTGAATTAATACAAAATTTACGTTCAATTTTATACTGGTTTCAGAGAATACATAAAGAAATAGTCTCTTTGTCTGTATACCTTCCTTTCAAGATATGAGAATAGTTGAGTATAAGTATAACCTTACCATCCAAACCTGAAGTCAAGGGCTCTACGTGCAGCTTCTCGATCTGTTATGTTGTCATTTGCCGGCAAAAACCAGTCACTGTTCAAGGTAATGCCCAGCAAACCCTTTTGAACTTTCTGCATACACATTTTTCAAAAATTATGGCTATTTAGTCGTCAACGGCATTCAATAATTTCACATGAAAATAAAGCAGGATCCTTCACCAAAAAAGAATGTACAAGTGGTTTAACCCTTTTATTAGAAAAGTACTTCTTATGTTCAAATTTCAAGATATAATGATTGATTTCTGGGTGAAAAAGCATTTGGTGTTATAAAACAGTTCAAGAATGCAGAGGACCTGATACTTGGTCTTATACAAGTTGGCAGCAGCAGCATGGGAAAGAAGTAGATAGTGCGCAGCCAAATATGGCTCAGTTCCTGAATCACCACCTGTGCAGTTCAGATTTTGCCAATCAGAACAACGACCTGGTGCATACGATCCAACTGTATAGCCATTCCAGGTCACGGTGCTCGGTTCATTCAAAGTAATCCAATATTTCACCCTATCACCAAATTCCTTGAAGCAGAGTTCAGCAAAGTCCTTAAAATCATCTCTGCATGCTCATATGAATTATATTAGTTTATCAGTTTACTAGATTCACCAAAAACTTCCTCAATCGTCATACAATGTTCGTCAGTTTATTATACAGTGGAAGTTGGTGTTACTCACACAATGCTAGGGCTTAAAAATCCACCATACTCATCCTCCAAGGCTTGGGGAACGTCCCAATGAAAAAGTGTCACATATGGTTCCATACCTGCATTTTTCACTATTGTTATTATGATTAAGAACCATATAGAAATGTAAAGATCTAAATAAAAAATATGAATGAATCATGACCATTCTCCAGCAGTTCGTTGATGAGATTGTTATAGTAGTCTATTCCTGCCTGGTTTACTCCTGCAGAAAGCTTTCCTTCTGCAAATAATTCATGAGAAATTAATAATAGTTACTATGGAACACTAACTTAGAAAGACAACTTATAAACTTGACTTACTCGGTAATACCCTTGGCCAAGAAATGGAGAATCTGTAAGCATCCAAATTCATGTTCTTCATGATTCCAATATCCTCCTAAAAAATGTGAACCAGTCTATCATGACTCTACATATTACTCCAATTTTTTTTTGGTAATAAAAACTATATTTCTATTATTGAAATCATATATACCTTATACCGATGATATTGGTCTGTCGCTACATCTCCCGTACTTCGGTCTTTAATTTTTTCTGCATGCCATTTCAATCAATCAATTCATAGTTACAGCAATTAGAAGATTCTATGCATGACCTCTTTTGTTCTATATATAGGATCTATTATATTATATATTATTATTCAATAAACTAGAGCTACAAATCCTCTCCTTTGCTTCCATATCTACAATATCATGCTATCAACCTCTTCTGAGTTCTATTAGCAAGCAAGAACTTACTTGACTTGGTGTAACAGGGTCCAAAAAAATGCACCAGCGTCAGAAAACTTCTTCTAGGATGCAACTTTCAACTGCTACTTTATTCTCAAAGTGACCCTCAAACATGATCCAGCACCAAGTGCGCAAATATTATATTATATCGATGGAGAAGTCCAAGCAGGTTACACAAAAGTGAATGGAACTTTCAGGATCTCAGATGCATACAGAAAGAGAGTGATCCTCTTCCAAATCCACTTTGAGAGTCCCATATTATAATCAAGATATAATGAATTTTTTTTATGCACATACTACGTATATGAAAAAGAAATTAAACAATATGGATATCACTTTTGGAGGAGGAGAAATATACCTGGGTATTTGTGAGTGAAAGTATCCCATATACTCGTTCCTTTTCCATCTTCCATTGCAGCACCTTCATACTACACGACAAATTTATCCCTCTTACCTTCTGAATACGTAATAACTGTAAATTGATCACGATGATCTAAACCGAAGATGGTTCAAATTAATTGGCAAATTAATAATAATAAAAAAAATAGAGTAAATAACACATGCAATTGTAGAATTTATACTGTCATAGTGCTATACTCCAAAAACAATACATCTTTTCTTTTCAAGTCATGCATCAGAATGCCAATTTTGTATTGAAATTTACAGAGTGTGTCTAAACAAAACATGCACTTAAAAAAGTCATACCAATTTTCATCAAAGGAACATGTTTTAATAAGATGAAGTTCAAATGTTATAAAATGGTATCAGAATCTAGATCTGTTGCTTTAACTCTAGATATTATGATATATCATGATGTACCTGGTATGAAGCGGAGGCTGTGCCGAAAACAAAGCCTTTGGGGAAACTGCTCCGGTTGAGAGAAGAAACGTCAAGAATGGGTGGAACAGCCATGGAACGAGTGAGGGTGAGGATGGATGAGGTAACAAAAACGCAGAGTAGCGGAAACATGTTCATTGTCATTACCATAATTCACAAAGAGAAGTTGAGGTAAGTGTTATTGTGCGAGTTTGTTTAATTCAGGAAAATTTATCACTCAATTTTCGTTCTCTTAGGTCGATCCGAAAACAGGGATAAAGTTGAGGCCGTTTCCGTATCGACACGTAGGTTTGAAATTTCGCACACTAGACAGCAACGTTAATCGGATTTTCTCTACCAATCGTTAATCAAAGACTGCGGCTTCATGCATGTCGGGTCGTGGGTGGTCCCAGAGTCTCATTTTCTTCACATTACTGTAACACATGTCACGCTTTTGTCAAATTTTTTTCCAAGAAGATGACTCTCTTCTCATCTTCTTGTTTCTTTAAACTTTTTTATATCAATAAAAAAACTATAAATATATTTAGCAAGAGATTCATTTACAAGTATAATTTAAAAAATAAATATTATTTTAATTTTAAATTTAATTTATTAAAAATATTTAAAATTAATTATATAAGAAAGTGTATTTTTTTATGTATTTTGATTTTATCTACTCTTCAATTTTATCTTCTCGTTTTTTATACTAGAATAAAGATGACAAATCATATAAATTATTTGTACCTGAGATGTAAAAAAGAGATGAGATTAACTGATTTATCATAAAGATAAGATGAACTAATATATGGAGTTAAAAAATTTAACAATCAGTAGGGAAAGTCAATTTTTTATATATTCTATTAAAAGTACACATTTATATATGAATGTTATTAATTTTTTATTAATTAATTGATATTTTTATCATATTTTTAAAAATATTATTATATTTATATATTAAAATAACATTAAATTTTAATCAATAATTTAAATAAAATAATTAGTATTTATGATTTAAATTATAATATATTTAAATAATTATTATATACTTTAATCTGTATCACATTAAAAATATTATATTTGAAATTATTATTTTTATTTTAATTTTAATATATAAATATTTTTTAAAAACACATGAATATATGTTGTCTATTGGTCCACCAAGTTGATGAATTAAATAGTTTTATTATTTCCATTTTCATTTTTATTAATATCTTTTATTTATTAAATTCTTTCGTCTAGGAATGGAAATATTCTGACTTTATATCTAATATGATAATATTGTTATGATCCATTATCTCGTCTGAGATATTATCTGTTATAAAACTCTATTTTATCCTTAAAATACATGTTGGTGAATTAAGAGATAAGGGTATATATAAATTATCATTGACATTGATTTATAAATGATATGAGACTGATAAATGTGATAAGAAAAGTCCCACATCAGGGAAATCTTAGTTTGACACTTCATTTTCTTACTATAAAAGGAGAACAATATTTACTTTGTAGGATGCATCAAAATCACTTCATTTTTTTTTTCTCTTGCTGCTTTAGTACTTGAGAGGTAAATTAAGAGAGAAAAATAGTTTTTCCTTTTAGGTTCTCTTAGAGTTGTTTTTTCTTTATTTTCAGGAGAGGGTATTATTGTTTCCTCCTTGGAAGTAGAAAGAGAAGGGTTGTAATTTCTTTCATTAGTGAAATTACTATTTTGCCTATTGTCAGTGTTTTTCTCATCTTTTTATTTTAGTTGTGTGTGTCTATGCTTTTGTCTGATACCTAACAGTGGTATCAGAGCCACTAGGTTGTGATATTTATCTTCTACTACATAGTCATTAGAATAGTGTTGGAGAAAATTCTTAGTATGCTTTGTGGTTGCGGTTAATCTGATCTTCCACATCATAAAAGAGTTATTCTTGTTACTGGATATTATTTGGTAGTGTGATAGTGCATGTCTAAGAAAAATTCTGACAAGAAAAGACTTGGTATTTAAGCGTGTCCATTAGTGACCCACATCTCTTTCCTGCGAACTCACCTGATGTACTAGTTCACGGTCTATCGTTGTTGTTCCAATAGGCAATATTATTCATAATGAGGATTTCATAAGTCAGTTTTGGAACTATGACAACAAAATATGAGATAGAGAAGTTCAATGGCAGTAATTTCTCATTGTGAAAATTGAAGATAAATGCAATTTTGAGGAAGGAAAATTGTATTAATGCAATTGCGAAAAAAACCGTGGAAAACACCGATGAACGACGATGGAAATAAATAAACGACAATGTTATTGCGAATTCGCACTTATCAATGACAGATTCGATTTTATCCAGTGTTGTGGAGAAGACTACTGCGAAGGAGATTTGAGATACCTTCATTAAACTATATGAAGTGAAGTCACTTCACACAAGAATATTCTTGAAGAGAAAACTCTATACTCTTCAGATGAGTGAGTTCACATCAGTGACGGACCACATCAACCATTTGAATACCTTGTTTGTCCAACTATCAGTGGCAGATTTCAATATACACTACTACAAAATATGCTTTCAACGTCGCCATTTAACGTCGGTTCAAGCTGAGCCGACGTTAAATACACTTTCAACGTCGGTTGGTTAAAAAACGACGTTGAAAGTTGAATGTTGGTCACATTCTACGTCGGTTCTTAGTCAAACGACGTAGAAAGTACTTTCTACGTCGGTTCCCATATGAACCGACGTTGAAAGTCTTTTTTATTTTATTTTTTACTTATTGATAACAGTTATAAGGGAACCGCTATCTAAAGTGTATATTAGATAGCGGTTATAAGGGAACCGCTATCTAATATACACTTTAGATAGCGGTTCCCTTATAACCGCTATCTAATATGCACTTTAGATAGCGGTTCCCTTATAACCGCTATCTAATATACACTTTAGATAGCGGTTATAAGGGAACCGCTATTATATCCTGTCAATTATGATCGATCAGAATCTAATTTCGCTCGAGCGAGGGTAGTGTCGCTCAAGCGAAATACAACCCGAGAATGCTAATTTTGTGCAGGGGCGTTTAGCTCGAGCGAGAAGGGTGTCGCTCAAGCGAGATACATTTTAGATAGCGGTTAACCTGGAACCGCTATTATATTGTTTCAATTATGATCGATCAGAATGCGATTATGACTGATCAGAACTATTTTAATCGATTAAATCTCGTTTCAATCGATTAAAACAATTTACTGCAACGTTTTAATCGATTAAAACTTATTTTTATCAGTTAAAATTACTTGAAAAGTGTCACGCGAAAGTTTTGCGAGTATTTCAATCGATTGAATCGTGAAACAATCGATTAAATCAACTTAGAAGATTTTTTGTAAAGTGTTTTAATTGATATAAACGTTGTCAGTATCAGTTAAAACAAAGCGTTGGGTTTCACGAGCATGACAATTGGGTTTGGCTTGACATTGGGGTTCGATGTCGCCGGAGTTGGGGTTCGGCCTCGAGTTCGTCGAGGTTGAGGTCAGGGTTGAGATTCGAAGTTACTATTTGACATTTTTCTAGTAGTGATAATTACACGGATATATATTTATTTGTATATAAATATAATTTATTTGTAAGTTATTATTAAAAAATTCAAGTAGTTTAGTGGTTGGAGTATCGACCTCCAACTCTAAAGTACTTGGGTTCGAATCTCGTCAATGACAATTCTCTTAAAAATTAAAAAACTTCTAAAAAATATAATATAAAGAGATGGAGGACCTAATAAAAATATAATATGAAGAGAGGGAGACTTCTAGATAAATAAAAGGGGGTAAAGGGGTTGTAAATAAATAAAAATTATTAATTTAAAAAATCATACTTTCAACGTCGGTTCTAATAAACCGAGCGTTGAAAGTAGACTTATAATTGTATATTAGATAGCGGTTCCCTTATAACCGCTATCTAAAGTCTATATTAGATAGCGGTTCCCTTATAACCGCTATCTAAAGTCTATATTAGATAGCGGTTCCCTTACAACCGCTATCTAAAGTAAAAACTTTAACGTCGGTTTATTATAACCGACGTTGAAAGTTACGACTTTCAACGTCGCCTGATACAACGTCGGTTATTAAACCGACGTTGAAAGCCTTCCAGAACCGACGTTGAAAGCTTTATTTGTAGTAGTGATAGTTGAAAATGAGCGTGCAAAGCTTCTACTTTAGAGTTTACGTGATTCGTATGATCAACTCATCATTAATATTACAAATAATAATATTGTTGGGAATATGCACTTTGATGATGTCACTAGAGCTATTCTTGAAGAAGAACCCAGGCGGATGAGTAAGGGCGAAAACTCTAAACAAGCAGAGGCTTTAACAATGATGAGAGAAAGATCAACAGAACGTGGCTCAATTAATGATAGATCGAGGTCTCAAAGTAAGAAGAATTTTAAAATCAAATGCTACTTTTGTAGCAAGAAAGGGCATACGAGAAAAAAGTGTTGGAAGAGGAAAAATGGAGGAAACAACTTTGAATAATCAACCTCACAAGGTTGTGTTGTAAGTACCTCAGAAAATGGAGATATTCTGATGAGTGAAATAGTAATTAGCTCTAATGGTGAAAAGGAGTTTCATGAAGTGGATAGTGGATTCAGGTGCAACATGGCATATGACTCCGCACCGAGATTGGTTTCACACTTATGAACTATTATCAGGTGGATCTATCTTCATGGGAAACAACCATGCATTGGAGATTACTAGAGTTGGTACTATCAAAATTAAAATGTATGATGGTATTGTTCGCAAAATTCAAGGGGTACGCCATGTGAAGGACTTGAAGAAGAATTTATTGTCCATTGGGCAATTAGATGACCTCGAGTGTAAGATCCATGTTAAAAATGGAATCTTGAAGGTGGTGAAGGGGAGTTTGGTGGTCATGAAGGCAAAGAAGATTATGGCAAATTTGTATGTGTTGTTTGGAGATACGTTGCAAGAAGCGGATGCATCAGTTGCGGCAACAAGTCCAGAAGATACAATAATCATGTGGCATCATAAACTTGTTCATATGTCAGAATGTGGTCTGAAAATCCTTGCAGAATGTAATCTCTTACCCGGGCTTAAAGATGTTAGTTTACCCTTCTACGAGCATTGTGTGATAAGCAAGCAACATAGATTGAAGTTTGCTAGAGTAACTGCTTTTCTTTATGGAGAT